TGGAATCGGTCGGTTCGTGTGAATACGACCCATATGACATGGATCTCGATGGTCCTCTGGCGAGAATGACCAATTCCACCCTGGGACAGGTGCCGAACATGGTCCCTCGTATTAAGCTCTCAGCGACCTCGGATCTCAAGGAGTCTGATGGTAAAGACCAAGATGAGGACCCAGCACGCAGCTGGGTGACCACTGTGAAGACCGCGATCACGAGAGACCAAGCGCCAGATGGGGAAAAGTGTCTCATTTTTGGAGGATTATTGACTGGACCTGCCCAGAACTGGTATCTTCAACTAGGTCGCTCTATTCGTGGAAATTGGAAGGACTTCTTACAGGAATTTCAGATGCAGTTCTGTGATTTCGGGTACCAGTGGCCCGCCAATATTACCAAGCGAAGAAAAGGTCGGACGAATCCCCGCTGAACTACCACACCGTCAGAATGTCATTGGACTTGGAGCAAAGATCAAAATCAAGGATGAACCGCCCAAGATTTAAAAGGAACATGTCGAACACTACATCGAGACATTGAACGACCCCAACCTGGCGAACCAGTTGACCGTGTTGCGCTTGGCTGATGTGGAAGAGCTGGAGGATGTGCTGAGGGCGCATCAACGGACGAAGGCCCGACGAGGCAAGATGTTGTCCGGGTCGAGCAAGTCTTGCCAAAAAGCACCGATTCCCCCTGATCGACCAAGAGAGTCGAATCGCCGCTCTGTCCATGCATTTCAAGCGACCCAGGAAGGATCAAGCTCCGAAGACTCCAGTTTGGACAGTTCTAATGGTGACAATGACCTACGGAAGGTCTACCTCATGGCTGCGAAGACAGAGAAGGACCTAGGGGAAAGGACTCCGAGGGACCAACCCATCAGAGAGGTCTACCAGACCCAACCTCGTTTAAGGATCCTGGACCCCGCATGACGTCGGCAACCCCAAGTGCAAGATGTGCCCATTGTGGTTCCAGGAAGCATAGAGACTTGGGTTGTTGGGAGAGGATGACCTGCAGTCGCTGTGGAACGAAAGTTCATTGATCAGACCGTTGCCTGTTCGTGTGTCGAGACTGTGAAGAAACCTACGAGGTTGGAAAGTGTCCGATGGAAGAGTTTTATAACTTGATCCGTCAGTGGTACAACCCGATCTAGAACGCTGGAATGTTGCCGGAGAAGGTCGAGCAGGTGCTAAATTAGGAAGCTCGCCAGGTTTGAATCTGCTACGAGCCGAGCGTTCTAATTGTTGCAGTTTTGCATATGTAAAAAATAGCTTAAGGGAGAAGGGGCCTCGCTTTCATCGTTTGATTGATCGCTCAGGTCTTGAGATTGACAGGGGGTAGTCCATGCGAGGTCTCAGCCGTGGGTATAGATGAGGACGGAGATTCTAATATCGCTGGACTTGTGAACCTTGGCGGCCACCGTTGTTGCTGAAGCCGCTGATGCTTACCCGACGCAGGGGCAGCAGGTACCTTGGGGCCAATCACGTAGGGCCCACGGGGTTATTTTGCGGATTCGAGAAGTAATCGGCGCAGCCCAGTATCGTCACCAAGCGAGAATACCGGCTTCGGCGGTAATCAATCTGCCATCGCAGGTGATCCACTAGCATCCTCTCGTTTTGAAGACCCTCACGCAGCTGGACGACGATAGTGTTAGTGTCGAACAGCTTTCACTCGAGGCGCTCACACCTGGCAGTCCAGTAGGTGTCAGAGGAAGAGACTGAAGCTGGTCGCCCCTTGCACAACTCGAGTCGACGGCCATACGCATTTAGGTTGATATGTAGGTCGCGCAGAACTAAATGCACGTCTACGGGTCCACCCAACGTAGCCGGAGGGTCGCTCGACGGGGCGACGGGCGGAACGCAAGCAACCTGTGGACTCACAAGGTCCACAGCGGCAGTGAATCTGGAGATAGACAGAGGATCATCCACGATCGCTGGACTCTCATCACCTACGGCTTTAGAAAAGCCGTAGTGGAAGGCCTTGGTCCTGGCATCTCGAGAAAATTGCCGATCGGCGGCGAATTGGGGGCCTGGACCTCTGGGTCAGTTGCGAGTGCGGGAGTTACAGGACCGGTTCCTCAAGCGGTGGGTCTGCCCCAGAGGGAGGAACAGCTGAGGTCACATTAATTCAGACAACAGATATCAAACGTCAAACAAACTGGAAGTACTTACGGGATGAAAACCCCTCCAAAGTCGGCAGTTAGGCACAGTGTGTGGCTTGTGGTCTCATAAAGCAGTTTCGAGAACCCACTTCACCACAAGACCGAAGATTTGTTTGCTAAGGGGGACCGGATGTGAATTCAGTCACCTCGGTACTGAGTCGGTACTACATAGACGACATTCTGATACCGGCCGGCTCGTGGGATACGTTGTGAGAGAGGTGGAGCGGTTGTTAGATGTGTGTGACTATTGAAATTGTCGATCAGCGCGGTCAAGAGCTCGTGTGGCGCTAAAAGGTTGACTATCTCGTTCACCGGGTCTCAAACTAAGGGACCTAAAGGGACCTCCAGACCTTGGTCGACCTACCGTTGCCAACGACAATCAAAGCCATGCAATTGGTTTTTGGAAGTCTGAATCACTCGGTAGATTCATTGAATATTATGCGGTGTACGCACCAATTCTCCATGAGTCAATAGAGGTGGATTTCCACGCATGGCGATGTAAGTTGAGGACGGGTGTTAGTGTCGTGGATAAGATAGAAGACGACGAGAAATGATTCAGAGTACAAAAAGATTTTTATGCTCAAAAATAAGATCGTCACTGCACCTATCTTGCAACACTTTGACCCATCCAAGGAAGCAGTAGTTATTGTTTATGAAAGTGGATGGGTCATATCCGCGTCATTGGCACAAGACTATGATGGCATTCTTATGTCGGTGACTTTTACGAGTCGGACCCTCAAGGCCAACGAATTGCACTATAGTACTATGGAGAAAGAAGTGCTAGCTTTATTACGGATAATAGGTACTTGTTTTACGATGTTATTCACTCGACCCCTCAAGGTCCTGACAAGGTATTCTACATTGGCGTGGCTAGTCAGGCCTACTAGTTTTTTTTTTACATGGACGTTGAACTGGTCCAACCTATTGTTCCAATGGACTATGGAGATTGTTAAGCGCAGGAAGGGCGAAAACCAAGTACTGGGGGCGCTGGCAGCCATTCTTACCCCTCGCGAAACTGTGGACTCGATTTTGTCGTCGACTGCCCCCAAGAAACAGGCGCGACAAGTGGTCGACCTACCCACGCTCGCCTCGCCGTGGAGCCCGACAAAAATATTATACGTCATGACCTTTGATGGGTTGGCCCGTGTAAAACAAGGATAGGGCGACTTGAAAAGACTAAAGATTCACCTGTGATCCTGACCTTTTCCTGGCGCCCGAGCTGTCGACTGACGGAGGGGGTATTTTTATGCCGTATGCTAGTTTTTCTCACCTTGTGTGCCGTCGACTGGATAGTTTGCACTCTCCTCGGTGGACTTGCTCCGATCTTGATTGTGATGGGGTCTGGGTCGGAGGGTAGAAACTCTTCACGCGATCGCAGTTAAATCTGCCTCGATCCACTTTGAATCTTTCTTTCTCCTTTCTTTTTCGTCCTCTTGAGCCGTTTAGTAGACTTTTGACTATTTGAGCCGTCTCGTAGAGGTCCCTTGCTTGAACGCTGCGTCCGATCGCATTTGACTTGAAATGAGTATATTTGAGCCCCTAGCTAAAATCCTTCAGGGGTTATTTGCTGGACCCTTTCTTCAACAAGTGGTTAACAATCCAACCCAAAAGAGATAAGAACACGTGTACAATCAGATTTTACCTGTCTATCAGGCACAATCAATACTTATACCAATTACTAACCTAGGGTACAAATCACTACCTATGGTTAACATAGCAAATTCACTGGTACCCTATGTCCAATAAACCCAAGAAGTACCATCTTGCCTACTTGTAAGACAGTACCCACAGCCACGTGTCGCTTCAATCTTGATTGCGATTCGTGCCACGCGATCCGATCTGCTGACGACTTGGCCTGCGATCGCGGTCCGGGGCACCATTCAATCTGATCTGCTGACGACTTGATTGGCTTGGGCATGATTACGATCCGTTTTATCTCTAGTCCACAACGTGTGATCTCATTAGCGACCAATCACGTGGGATTCGGGCTTATCACAATTACTGAATCACCCGATTGTCCCGAAAAGAGACCATTCCTACAATTTTCGCTTCTCCACACTTGCGGGTCAAGTTGTAGAACTCCTCCATAGGACACTTTCCTCCTTCATGCATTTCCCCACAAGCGGCATAAACATAGAAACACTTTTCTGACGGATATCCCTGACGACCACACTGCTACAAGTCACTCTCTTCCTACATCCACGATCGCTGTGCTTGGTCTATTCACAGTGGGTACACGGTTCGGCGATACAGCCTGGTCATGACCATTACTTTCTTGGGAACCACTTTCCTGATCAGCGATCCTTCGGACCCTTCGTGCGATCCGCTGGATCAGCGAGGCAAACGTTTTGCTGGTCTGTGGAGAAGTGATCAGGTGATCCAGTAATCGTGGTGAGCCCAAATCCCACGTGGTCATCAATGAGATCACACGTTATGGACTACACAAAACGGATCGTAATCATGCTAGTGATTTGCCTTGCAACTTTTGCTGTTTGGCTTGGCTATATCCTTTCAGCAATAAGTGGTGGCTACGTTACATCTGCTACAACTTTGCAACAACCATCAAAAGCTTTTAGATTTGCAGCATGCGACCATTATCAAGTAGGTTCTTGTACTACACTTTGCGCTGCATCCTTAGCGACAGCGCACAGGACTAAGACCAGGTCGATGAAAAAGACATTGTGACTTCGACATTTCATTATAGTTTAAAAGCTTGTCGTTCACTCTACCTAGTGATTCAACCAAAATTATGTTGTACCACTTCAAGAAGAGTGCAAAAACCTAGCTCCCAAGACATAGTCTTCAGCTAAGCTTAACAGTGCAGCTGGTGAAGCATTCCATGACACCTATTGATCACACGAGACGCGAGTAATGGCCACGAACGCGACGTTCGGCCCACGAACGAGCAGCAATCACATTCGCTACCACAACGCCTGCACCAACGAATGCGTAGAAGAGGCCGTGCGAGAGAGACGACATCGCACTAGTCTGTTGCATGTTTGATAGTGACGTGGTGATTAAACCCGCCACATTAGACGGCTCAGCGGACACAAAGGCGTGATTCGGATCTTCAAACAGCGCAGATTTAGCTGTCTTGATGGAGTAGTATACGGTATGTTTAGCTGGAATTGGCGCCGGTTGGTACATCACTACCTTGTTCACCGCTGCAGGGTACACAATGGCACTGGCCTCACGCCAGAACCACCATCCCTTAATTTTGATATCGGACGGCGGCGCGTTCACGTAGCCCACCTTGCCCCACACTGACGTCGTCACTGCTAGTTTGTCAGTCACCTGCACAAGCAACTCTCCGCTACCCCACACATTCACGCTCGACTTGGCTGCCATAATTGATCCAGCAAGCAGCTGTCCAGAACCAGACAAATGTAGAGACTCCTTCTCGACAGATCCTGCGGTAGCAAAGCTCGCAACACCAGATCCGTAGACAGAGGCTTCAAGTTGCTGAGCTACTAGATTGCTCGTATCCACTACAATATTACCCGAGCCAGAAAGGGTAGACTTGACCACATCTGCCGACAGAGCATCTGTAACTAGCGCAACAGAACCGCTGCCCGTAACTTCCACGTCCAGTTCAGTGTCGAGAATTAACGAGGGCATTTCTAACTGTACCAGACCGCTGCCCGTTACTTCAATCTCCAGCGAGCTCAGTGACACATTTGTTTTAGACTTTAGAAACAAATTGCCTTTGCCCACGCACGCAAACTTAATGTCCGCCTCGATGTCGTCAACCGTCATCACATCGTCGTTCAACACCACATCCCCCGAGAAGGCTGTAGTCACACGACGTAGCAAGTTCTTGTCAAACACGTAAATTTGCGTCAGTACGTATCCCTTTGCATTCGCGTCCTCATTCATCAGATGCACCTTGAGTCCGTCATTGTGGCGAGGATGCAAGGGTGCAGCCTCAATCATGTTCAATAATCCCCACGAGTTGCTTGTAATGATGATCTTGGCCACGACAGTCTCATTAACCAGCAACTGGTCTTCATCGTCGTCCGCAGAATGACGATGATGCTTCGCAAGCATCATCGTCTGAGGTTTAATTATCGCGACTGGCAAATTGCTATTGTTTCTTTCATTGTCGGATCCGTTGAATGATCCTGCAGGCGTTTTACCCGGTACAAATCCAGGTTCAGCACCGGGAACGACACCGGGAATCACACCAGGAGTTTGACCCGGGACAACACCAGGTACTCCAGGAGTTTCGGTAGCGGGATCATCTGTCGCAGGAGTCTCAGCCGACGGCAGTAAGGACGGATCTAATTCCACAAAGACGGAGCCAGGAACAGCGAGGTATAGCTGATGTAGCTGCGCAATGCTGGAGACAGTCCACACACGCTGAAAAGACTCATGTTTACCTGTACGATTTTCAGGTAAAGTTACGTTTGAAACGTTAAATTTCCACGCACAAGCAGCGCTAAAGGACATGGCCATTGTTGTAATATATGCTGACAACTTCATGATTTTAGTGTTTTATTCTCTTAGTAAATTTCAGAATGGGGGGAAGATCAGTGTCACCGCAAATGCGACATGTCCTTTCAGATTGTGTTTGCAGCATCTTATTTGCCTGTAAGAATGAGTACATGCAACTGATAAGATAGGCATGAAATTCATATAGAGCCGGATGTAGAATGTGATAGTTTGTTTTGACGAAATATCACAATGAATTTTGCAAGTAAAGTTTGCCGAGAATCAGACGAGCAAACGAACGGTAGATAGTGTTTACATACATAAATGTATGCTAAGAAGATATTTTTACGATAACCAAGTAAATGTCGAACGCAAGAGTAAATTATGTCTGGTAGACCCATTTACATGCTGCCAATGTGACAATCAATATAAGTCTTAGCCGACTGAAAAAAATATCATTTGTAACGTCCGTTGCGGTTTCCCGGAATTTTGCCGTGCTCGTATGAGCTTGTTGTTAATACTTGGACGTAAGATCAAATTAAACCAGATTTTCGTGAAATGGAGCTGGATAGATGGATGGTTGACGATCATGAACGATTTGAGCTAAATTTGTTCTTTTTCTTGTGCTAGCAAACGAAAGAAATGGAATTGATAAGATTGCTTTTAACGCTACGAAGCCTTCATACTTGAGATGTGTTTTTAAACAGCTTGTGGAGAAACCATTGACGACTGTCACGGCCTGCCACGAGCTGCTTATGAGGCTAGCACGACGACTTGAACCGCGGAGACAAATATTCGAAGTAAACAATTTTGACAGTTTGTCGAGTCATTGTTTCGACGTATGTAGCTTGTTCCACCGTATGTTGGCTGTCAAATAGAGGGTGGAATTGCTTGTAATTTAGTCGTTGTTAAACTATACAAAGCAGACGATTACTTTTATTTTGATAAATATCTCTTTGCCTTTGGAAGTAAATATAATCGATACAGCTATATGTATTTAGACAAGTTAAGAAATATCTTTTTCGCATGATCGGGGCAGAGCCGGAGCATATAGGAGATGAGCTACAGAAGAAAATCTTGAAGAGGTAAAAACGACTAGCCGCTACTATGTAATGGTCCTGTCCAGCGTTACTGGCCTTATCCTAACTTTCTTAGTCGAAAGCAGGTCATTTTGATGTCATTTTTAATATTATCCACAAGTGCTACGTTACATTGCTGTTGGCAAATGCTGTCACCTGCAAAGCGAAAACAACAGGGCATTTAATTATACAATTGATAAATAATACTCAAACAGTTACAGAAAGAACCTTTTTTGTACTAATTTTACAAGGAAAATGATACGTCAGAGGGAGTTTTATGACAGGGGAAGGGGAGAGCATAGCATAAAAAAGGACGAATAAGGGGAGAACGACTGCTGGGAGTGTAGCAAGTCACACAAGGCAATAATCATCCAGTCACACACTTGACTAGTAATAGTCATATTCAGGGCTTTCTATCTTCCTATTAGTCACTGTTACATATAATTCACACGTCATCATGGCAGATACAGCAAGTGATAGTCAGCCAGAGCCAGCACCACCAACGGACTCGGCCGTTTCGGACAATTTTGGTGATCTGCTTGCACAATTGCTGCAGTCGTTACCTACTGAAGCATCACGACTTTTTCTCATGGCCCTTAGTGGTCTTTCTCCAAGTGAGAGCGCTGAACTTTGTCGCTATGTAGATCGACTACGTGATGAAAAGCAGTTTCGTGTGATTAAAGCCATGGCAGAGTCAACCGTTGAGGGAAAGAAGAAATTTATATTGAATTTGCGCAAGAAGTTTTTAGTTCAACAAGCTAAATTAGCTGAAGTGCAAGCACAGGAAGAGCAAATTATGGAGTCTCATCTTATGCGTAAGCAAGCACTTCATGGTATGTTACTGACATTGTGGTAGCAATATTATTGATGCTTTTTAAATGCAATAGCTGACAAATACCTGCACTTGATTCTTTTTGATGTGCTGTAGCTGCCAGCCGTGTGAAGATGCTCAGTGGTGGTGCCAACAAATTTCACTCTTTCAATGCGGTGGTGGGACCTGATGGGTATGTTGTAGCTTTTTTGTAATGACATCTATCTATCATGCTCATTTTGACTCACGACATTTTTAAACTTATTGCCACAGTCACAGCACAGACGCCCATAGCCACAAGGTGACGCCACAGAAATTGGCTGGAATGCCAAACGCAGAAGGCTTTGTAGTCGGCCGCTCATTATCCTCATCATCTGTGGTGATATCCAAAGAAGACATTTCGCAGGTCGGACGGCTTTTGAGTAATTCTCACATTGGTGACTCGGAGATGAACTTGCGCGAGCTGGAAATAAGTAAAAAGGGTTTTGTCTTAAACGACAACACCACATCGACCTTTAGCCAAAACGATGACATGTTAGCGGCTAAACGCGATCGTCCGCAGAGCAGTCACAGGTTGACAGAAAGTGAAGAAAAGCCCACACAGCGCACACGATCTGATGCATCGACGCCTATTGCATTTTGTAATGAGAACGTCGAAAACTCAATTGATAACAGTGGACCGGTAGAAGATTTGGACGCTCCCACTACCAAGCGTTGGACCAAAGGCCAGGATGCAGCTCTTCGGGAGAGCGTGCGCATTCATGGTGAAAAGAACTGGAAAGCTATTGCCGAGCTAGTGCCTGGCCGTAATCACGCCCAGTGCCTGCAGCGTTGGCGCAAGGTGCTGAAACCAGGTCTTGTGAAGGGTCATTGGTCGTTTGAAGAGGATCAGGTACTAGAGTATCTGGTGACACAAGGTTGCAATAACTGGGGTCAGATCGCTGAGCGCATCCCAGGACGTACCCCAAAACAGTGTCGCGAACGATGGAAAAACCACTTGGATCCGGCAATTAACAAGGGCCCCTACACTGAAGAAGAAGATTCTGTGATACTTACTGCGCAGGCAAGACTTGGAAACAAATGGTCACAAATTGCACAGCTTTTGAAAGGTCGTACCGAGGACTCGGTGAAGATCCGCTGGAAGTCGTTGAAGCAGAACCCGAGTAAGGCCGCGGCTTCTCACGCTCAGCACAAGAAGAATCAACAGCAGGCACAGGCTGCTGCGGCTCAGCAAGCGGCGATGGGCTATAGTAATTCAGCCCTAATGCGTCAGCGCCAGCTGCAACTTTTGCAGCAGCAACAGCATTTACAGGCGCACAATACTGAAGCGGTGCATCAGCTTGATCAGCAGCAGCAGATGCAGCAAATGCGTCTTCACGAAAAGCTCATACAGCAACAAATGCAGCAGGGTTTGCATGTCAGTCACGTCGCCATGTTAACGGAGGATCTGAAAGCGGAGCCATATCAGCAGAATCGTCCAATGCTCATGGGCCACTCACCAGGTGGCGATTCAAACTTGTACAACGCATCAGCTTACAACCAGCAACTATATGCCCCACCGCAGCAATATGAGGGTCAGGAATACGCCGCCAGCAGTGGCTACGACCCGCGGTACTACGAACGCCAGACGACTATTGGAGCAGGCAGCCGAGGCACATCTCCTGCTCACCAGACCGATCACCGCCAGCAAAACAGTGGTGAGGCTTGGCTTCAGCCTTCTGTGCCTTGCACAAACAGCGAGATGGATCAAGATGGGGTTTCCCCGGTAGGTGGCCAACAGCAACAGCAGCAAGCTCAGCAACCTAGCACCAACGGTGTGGTTATGTGGGATCCTTACTCGCGGCAGGACGCATCACAGCTAAGTCCGTTAAGTCTGCAGGTGAGTGAATTTTTATTTTAAAAAAACCGTCACCGCGCCGCGTTGAAGTCTGTTTGCCAAGGATGAAGCATATTTGCCGAGGGCTGTACTTTGTTGGCGCGGCCTGGTTTCATCTTATGAGGATAAATTGAGCTTGAATTGGAAAATGCTGACGTTGCGCCTTCGGCCATGACGCGTGCTTTTGCAGGCATTATTGCAAGATCCTGCACGAAGTGGATCGTTGGATTCAAGCTTTTATCAATCGGTGGAGCACCAGCAGTTGCCCCCGCCTGTGACATACGAAATGGGTTCGTCGAATTATGGCAGTATACCGACCATGGCGTTTTCGCAGACGCAATCGCTGTAATGTAGTAAATGAGGACATTTGGACACATTTCAGTGCAAAGTAGGTCTAAGAGAGTGTGATGGGTCATGAACTAGTTGGGTTAGTAGCTACAACAGTAGAGGAGGGTTTGATACAATGTACAATGCCAAAACGACGTAATCCCGAATGTGTCTGGTCGAATTATGAATACCAGGTTATTTATTTGTACAGTACCAAAAAGACACGTATTCTGCTGATAATAGGGCAGCTACCCTTTTGAGAATGATGTATAAATGTAACGTACTTTAACAGGTATCAATTGTTCTTGGTCATCTAAAATGTTTCAGTTTAAATTTTGAGAAAACCAAGCCCTTCTTTTTCCTAATACTCTTCTTCATCTTCTTCTCTTTCTTCTTCATGGCCGACGCACAGACACTTGATCTATTCAATGGTTTACCACTTGATTATAATTTCCTTGGAGGAGGAGATGTATCACCAGAAAGTCCAAGGAATGCTACTACCAACAGTGCGTCTTTTGCTGCTAGTGGACCGCTCATGGGGACAGATGATCAAATGCTATTTGATAGTGACGTGCCTGGTTCATCGCATACTTTTGTGATGACACCAAAGGCTGAGAATGAGGATTTACTAACACCTCTTTCGTTTTCTTTTAACCCTAATGGGATCACAGCCATGGGTTCAAACTACCGCGTGGCGTCACAGCATAAACACAAACGCGTACGTTCGAATCCGGACGTTTTACAAGGCTTTGGCATGGCCAACATGGCGTCAAGTGCAAGGACATCTTCTATTATGAGTTTGAATGGTATGAGTTTTCATCAACAGCATAATGTGATGCCTACTGGACCATTTGAAGTGGAGCTACCGGTTAATCCTATACCTTTTGGAGGCATAGCGACACCACGCGGAGAATCATTTGAAGAAATGGATGATTTTCTCCAGAATTTGTCTTGGTCTGAACCAAGTGTTGATCATCAACAGCAAAGACAGCAGCAACAGATGTTAAGAACGCATGTTGTGGGTATTGAAGAAAATGGTGCTCTTGTTAATGAAGACGCGTCGCCTGTTTCCTACCGTTCACATCGTATTCAAGAAGGTGTAAATGAGCTCAAAATGAAGCGGAAACGTCCTGTAAATCATCACTCGAGGCACCATTCTAACCCTGTGGACTTGTTGCATAATTTGGATCAGTTTCGTATTCTGGCAGAGCAGAACAAGCAACAGCAACAAGCGCAGCAGCAATATGTGCAGCAGCAGAATATGCACTCGACTCAAGGGTATTTGAATCCGTTTGCCAGCTTTCAAGATCATGCGGCGTATCCGGCACGTCTACAAACTAACATGCAGCAATATCAGTTTCAAGTACCTCCCCAGGTTGATTGCGGTACCGTGCACTCGCTGCATGGACGTCGATCGTCTTTAGGCAGCAATATGCCACCGCGTGCAGCAGCTCGCAGGCGTGGTGGTCCAAACCACTCGTCAGGTTTATCGATGGATATGTCCCAGATGAATCTAGGGTTTCTTTCGCTTCCGGAGGAGCCATGCATGGCTGAGCTCAACCCGCACCATTCACCGCAGCAACGTAGCATGAACAGTTCTGCCTCTTCATTAGGCAGCAAGAAGATGAGTATCGACGACGCGAACCGAAAGTTGTACAAGTGTGGTCGCTGTGGGCAGCCTAAGGTAGGTCATATTTGCACAATGCCCGACCAGCGAAACAATTGGACCCAAGTGGACCTCGGGGTTACGAAGGGGCTTAAGGTTGTGCGTATTAATTGCCACGTTATACCAGTGAAGAGCAAATGGGTGACGCAGTGTGATGACCATGAACCACCACAGCTTGATATCAAGGGTGACATTAAAACCGTGGAAGAAAGCAAAATAGAGCCACTGGGGCTCTGAGCGCTTCGACTGTATACGCGTCAAGACAATGCATTTTATACTTGTATATACCATGGAAACCCTTAATAACGATAATATGGACAAATGTGAGCAAATTTTAGTCGTAATAAGAAAGCTTATATGTGATGATTTTACATAGCATTGCTACTGTGTCAGGTGTAAAATTAGACCCTTAATTAATAGCTTGATACAGTAAAATGATATCATCGGTGTACAGATTAATCCCGGACGTGTAAGCGCATGTCACGCTTGGGCAAACCCAGCTAAGACCGCAGACTTATTCAAATAGTAGTAGATCAAGTGGCCAATTGATGTGGTGGAAATTATGCTACAAACGTCACGATTAGTTGCACGTAGTCATTCATTTCAGAGTAGCAAATCTGGATTAAGCATTGTTTTGCTCCAATTTGATTGTAAAGTTATCATATTAGGGGTAGCTATCGATGAAAACCGGAGCTTTTGTTTGTCCATGATAGCCTGTTACAATGACACTATTGACTCATGCATAAAATATCAATGTTTCGTATACTTAACAGATAAAAACGCCAGCTCCTCATAGTTTATATAGCTATCTATACATATCAGCTATGACAAGTATTACCTGTGTACAACAAAGAATAAACTCCAACACAGGTTTTTCTACATATTAATTCGCGGCTATGATGCAGCGAAGGCGACGAAGATGTACGCGTTTTCATACAATAGTGACGTTATTTTCTTACGTTTACTCTATCAATGCACATGAATGGATAACAAGTCGCAATTGTCTTGGTAGGTACTCGCTTAATGTGCCTCTGTGTCTAGTCTCGCTTGAAAATGACGAATGTTTGGCACTGGACCAAATGATTGGGACGAATACAACAACAACAACCGCTTGGCGTGTTACGTTAGAAGCCACAAGGACGTATAATATTGAAACCCTGGAGCTTTCGTCTTGCATTCAGACGCTTGAACTACAGGGTAATAAGACACGTATACAATTCAATACTTCGAGTCTCTGGATAGGGGAACAATTGACTACGTTAGTATTAAGTGGTCTTGACTTGTCCAACATAGCGTTACTTCAGCTCCCAACGTCACTTAAGACATTGCATATTACGGACTGTGTTCTGAATAAACTGCCCGTAAAGTGGCTGTTGTCGCAGCTCCAGCTAGAAACACTAGTATTGGTAAACAACAATGTGATGGATACAACACGGACACTCACAGAGCTCAGTGACGAGCAGTTTAAGCTACTGAGTAGTCGAGTTTCGGGTTATCTAGCTCTGGAGTCAAGAGTAGAGGTAGATCAGATCACAGCGTGTGTAAAGGAAAAAGGAGGCAGCGTACAGAAGATTGGTACATGGTCCGTGTGTGTCATTCCTGATGACGCAGCTGTTATCGCTCGACGACTGCTGCTTTTTGCGAGTATTGAGTCGGACGATACTTCCTTAGCAAGCAGTGGCTCTGGATTGAACGATGATCAAGACACTTCAACACTTGTGATGGCCAGTTTTGCCTTGCCTTTTATCTATTGTTTGTACAAGATTGGGCTCTTTATTTTCTTTGCGCGGACACGCAATCGCCATTGTAGCGAGAATGGTGGGGCTATTGGTCGAGTAACGCGAGACGATACGAAGAATGTCACTACCGCCACGACATGTGATAGCGATGGCAACCGGCCCACCGTGAACGACTCGAGTGCTTCTTCGCAGCATTCTTCTTCCTCTCGCGTTCATCGGAAACAAGATGAGCATCAGTCAAACAGCGACAACGCTGGATTCTGGGTGAATGAGGAGCTGCAGCCATGGCGGTTAGACTTTCAGCAATTAAAAATGCTAAGGTGCCTCAATTTGCTGCCGACTGTAAAACGTCAAACATTGCGTAAACAAAGTGTCACGAGTGCCATGAATCCTCGCGAAATATGGCTAGCATCGCTGGCTAAAGAAGACGTGTCTATGGCAACAGTATCTATAGGAGGCGACACGACTCAAACATGGTGGTGGCAAAATTTATGGCGCTCAAGGAAGACCAGGGACCGCGTTTATCTTCAAGCAGCATTACAAGGAACAAGCTGAATCGTGAGTTAAAGCGTCAAGCTTCATTTTCACATCCACGGGTCGTAACATTCGTTGGTGTCGCCTGGTCCCGTGAAACGCATCTGATTGCTGTCACCGAGTACATGGCTCAAGGCGATCTTCGGCAGTGGCTTCATCGCACTGCTGGCGCACAGTCCGGCAAATGGTCGGTTCTCAAAGTCCAAATGCTGCTGGACGTCAATAGGGCTCTGTTGTATCTACATTCAATGAATCCGTGCCGCATGCACGGCAACTGCAACTCGCGGAACGTGCTATTCGACCAGTCACTGCGTGCAAAGCTAAGCGATTTTGGCGTGGATGGTCCTGAAAGTCTTACGGAGCAAGAGCTTATGTCATACAGTGCCGTCGGGTCGGGACGATGGATTTCTCCCGAAGCGCTTTTGGGATGCGAGACCAGTGCGTCTTACCCGGATGCCAGTGACGTGTACTCATTTGGAATCTTGGTTGCTGAGATGGACTCACATGAGCTGCCATTTTCAGACTTGATGCAGGCAAATCGGTCAGCTGTGCCAGAGACTGATATTTTGCAGCTCATTGCAAGAGGTGCGCTGTCACCTACGCTGTCATCGTCATGTCCGACAAGCGTTGTGAAGTTGGTGAGTGCGTGCACTAGTTACAAACCAAAGGACAGACCTAGCAGCACACAAGTACAGCAACAGTTATTGCATATTTTAGAAGACTTTCAAGAGTTTGAGAGTAAGACAACAGCGAGGATATCAGTTGGAGCACCGTGTTGAAACTCACCATCCAACTTGGTATGATACTAGAGTACATTAATTCCAAACGCCTATCTGTGAATGTAATGGTTTATTAATCTCAATCAGTCCCTTGTTGCTAGTGATAGCGTCGTCAAAAAATGATGATTAGAATCGCAAGCAAGCAAACAGGACGTCAGGATACTAAAAAGGACTTGATGGCTGATGACAGTCCTGTTGTCAGACAGGCAAAAGCTTCGTGTCCAACGGGTGGTATCGTGCTAGCTTTAATGACGTGTGTATTGAGACCATGGACGTAAATTTCCCATGACTGCTTGTTTGCATGAACTCATCGTGTTCTTGTGGTTCGAATGATCTTTCTATCCTTTGATGACAGCCACGGAGCGATATTTGTTACGGCTAGTCGTACATTTAAAGACACACAACGTCGATGCTATTGATGCTTGATTCGACTAATCACCTTAGTCATTCGATATCACATATCTTCTTCACCTTACGTTTAGAAAAACTAGCTGTCGCACCTGGGAATTTGAAACGGTAACGTTATGGCTGCTCTGCTCTAGGCGGTCACGTTGTTGGTTGCATTAGAACTTGTGTATACTAGGAAAGTGCTATTCTTTTTCACAGAGAGACGTGAATATACACCATCATAGCGTCCGTTATAGTCGTCATTACGCCCTCCGTAGATTATCTTTATCCATACAGCAAGCAACATATTGTGCTACAAACAACTACGTTTAAGTCATAGGAAGAATGAAGAAAAACCGCTTAGATACTTCTTCAGTCTCACCTTCGTCGATATCAGATCTTAACAAGTCCGTCATGGCGAAACGGGTCGATTCTTTGAGTCCTGCGCAAAACCTCATTAACCTTCCTACGTAACGTCTCGAAAAACAAATGACGCCACTTGTTGGAATTTCACTACCGAGTTTACTGTGTAAAGGTCACATGCTCGTGAGCAATAACAACAACGAGGCGGCCCTCGCAAAGGCCAATCGTCCACCTGATGCAAAAATACATTCTCACCGGTATCATCGAGCGCAGATGACACCGGTTGATGATCATGATGTTGATGAAAAAATAAAGGCAAAACAATATGGACTCGTAGTAGGTTCCAAGCATCCATTAGTGCATGAATTAGCGGCAATGCTACGGCCAAAACGATCCGCCATCTCGTCGATTGTAGACGATATTGTTTCAGCATATGAATACGATGACCTGCCAATACTTGAGAGCAATCGGACGTCGTGTTGCACACCTCGGGATCCAGCCATGATCACTGCGTCGACGGTCGACGAGCCAGTGGATCGACTAAGTGATAGTGTACCAGAAGGAGAGCTACATGTTTGGGTGTACAAAGCTCGTCAGCTATCAGCTTCATGGCCAATGACGAATGCAATGTACAAAGAACACGGTCTTCACGCTCGATGTGCACTATTAGGAGCGGTGCAGGAATCACCGTGCAATATTTTAGGGGACAAGAAGAATCCGGTATGGCGTCAAGCTGAAAACAGGACACGTGATGGCTTAGGAGGATACTTTGCATGGGCATTAGGTCAGCCAGAAGAAACAGCAGATGATCGACTGAGTAGAGGAGTAGAGGCCAGTGAATGCAACCTAGAGATTGATGTCATGTGTGGTGAACAGATCGTCGGTTCGGCGACAGTGGCACTGGAAGACTTGCTCCTATCGTCCAAGGATCGTGCATTGGACGAAGATGCATTGAATGGTAGTGGCTTGAAGGTTATTCGTCTTCGTCCGCACTGGCTACCACTCGCAGGTCACAAAGCAGGTTTACTACAGATTTCACTCGAGTTCGTCCCTGTCCCAAAGGAAATGCTGCGTAGTTCTTTTGCAAGTATCAGTCTTGCAAACTCAAGTCTGAAGGTGCTAGATCAACATGGTGTGGACCATCAGTCCAATGCTGGAACTCCTACAGCGCAGCAAACGGACCAAATTCCTCGCAATGTTGTTGAAACCCGTCCAGTTATTCCTTGGCTTGACCAACGTCACGATGCTTGTCAACTGGATTCGAAAGATGAAGACGGCTCAAGTAGTAAAGTGATTGTATCACGAAGTGGTGGCGTCACGATGTACATTCCGACCCAAGTCGCAAAAACTCCATCAAAAGCTAGTACTGTTGGGAGCCCGCCATTAGCGCCAAAGGTACCCACTCCGTCGCTTGGTTTATCTCCTAGGCACTGAACAAGTGATGGACAAGCAACTCTGGGACTTGTACCACTTTGGTATTTCTGACGAAGCTGGCAAAAGCAGAGACCCAAAGGATTGTAGTGGCTCGACGAGCATGGCATCAGACTATCCAGTTACGTTTTCTGACGCGACATCGCACTCTGATGACTCGATTGATTGTCGTCAGGAAAGCACGTGTGCTAGTGATGTTCTGGCCTATAATGAGCTCATTCAGGACATGGAGAGCGCTATGAAGTCAATGGTGGATATGACACCTCTTGCAAGAATTGGTTCGAATGAAGAACAGGAAGAATTCGACGACCTGCCCACGGAGACAGCAACAGACAAGGTCCAGACTTCAAAGATTCATCTTAAGATGCGTGCAATCGACAAGCCAAATCTGAGTTTTAGCAAGCCTCTTGACCGCATCCACTCGCTACGGTATGACGCTAAGGTTTGTGCAAGCAACAGCAGCAAAGCAAGCAATGGAAGTGGCTCTTTCAATGAACACAGCTTGAAAAGAACAACCGTTAACTGTTCAGTCAGAAGCAACACCAGTCCAGTGACATTTTGCTCACGTAGTAAGACTCCCTTTTCAGTGAAAGAAGAAGGTGTTGTCCTCTTTGATCCTCAAAATGTACATGTGAGGACTCCATTTCAGCGCTCGTGTTCGCGTGACGAAGCAACAATCAAAGCAAAACGAGAACGACGTGCTGCTGCAGCTGAACCAAGACGTCGGTCGCTTCCTATCAACATTTTTAACCTGCAACATCGGCAAGAAATGCTCATACAGCAGCAGTTGCGAAAGCGCTCAGTTAGGCAACAATATGAGGGCCCGCTTGGAGTACAACCTTCCTTATTGGAAAGCGTCGATCCTCCGCTGTTGAGTCGTGCTCGAAGCGACTCGCTCCACTCAATGACGGACTTGTTTCTCTCAAAAACTGGGGACACGCACGGCGTTCAAGTTACAAGTCCTGCCATTACCACGACTGGCTCAACTATTCCAGCTTCAAGTCGTGCTAATCGAGGAGCAGCCAAAAGAACGACAACGCGTCGCCATTCAGGCAGTAATGTGGTCTATATCAATGGTGATGGACTTTGCATTGGCAAGTTTATCAACGTTGGCAATGTACCAGGTGTGGTGCGTTTTATTGGCACAACGCGCTTTGCAGTTGGCACGTGGGTAGGCATTGAGCTATACGAACCAAAAGGCAAGAACAGCGGCACTATTAACGGAGAAAAATACTTCAGCTGTGCACCAAATCATGGCATTTTCATTCGTGCCAGTCGTTTGGGCCTTACACTGCAATGAGGACTTGGTGTTTTCTTAAACTTTCAAGTGACATTATGATGGTCCTATCGCGATAAGCAGCGTTGTGCACCAGTCACATACACACACATACCCAGCCACGAGCAGCAAGTGTCTATCTTTTCTTGAGTTCCAATTAGTTATGAACTCTACACCTTGTTGATTGACACACCATCGCAGATCGCAATGCATGTGTCGTGGACACTTCAAGGCGTAGAAGCATTTGAGAACACAACAAAGAAAATTTGCAACCATGTTGTTCCCATGATTAAGTGTCCTTGTCTTAGAGGATTATGATGAAAGAGATCAAAGTTTTTCGCTTGCATAGTCGATAGTTGATGGTTCGTGCTCTGCCTTAGAGGCATTTCTTCATGTTTGGAGCATATACCTACAGTGCAGTTCATTCTTGCTACTCACAGCCAGCAAAACCAACAGTTCTTTGAGAAAACTTGAAGTGTTGTTTACTAGAACCGAGTAGTGCCGTTAACATATTGCCAGTACTAACACGAGTCATGGTCGAGTTGCAACGAGAGCTTCATGTATTTGTTACCAAAGCTTGACTGCTACCTTGAAATGATGAAATCGTAAGTATCGTGTTTATAGTTATAGATGCATCATTTGCACGTAGTTCCTCTGCCTACTTGTGGAATAACCTTGCCTCAAAATTGACACACTGTTGTACGACTGAGTTTAAGCTGCAATGATGCGAGATGCACGATCATCAATCGCCTTTTGAGCATTCAATCTCGCTTGCTTCATGGCAACTGCAAATGCCGAAGCTGCATATGCAGCCGTAGGGCTACGCACAGACGTCGTGGCCCTCATCTCATCATCATTTTCCGTCGGCATCTTAATCACTCCAATCGACAACGCTTCAACTTCCGACTCCAAATCTTCCAAACCCATTTTGCCGGTTCCTACCGGGCTACGAGCCCTTTCCTTCTCTTCACTCAATGAGCTACTGCTGCTGCTCGTCACCGTCCACGCTGGACTTTTTGGTGGCTGCTGCTTTGATTTTGATGTCGTATATCGACTGCTGATTGGGGTGTGTAAACTGGATTCCGTCGGGGTTTGGACTTGATTCGAACCAGCTCGTGCATCACCAAGATCGTTTTCATTCTTGTGGCGATTTGACAATGCACGCTCCACCACAGGAAGCACCTGAACCTTGTTTTCATTGGCATTGGTTCCAGCTAGTAGCAAATCCGACACGTCAATAATCCACGCCGTTGGATCAGTGCTGGTCAAGTTGACGTAAATTGCGGGTGCACCACCGTATAAACGTTGAAAGACTTCCCACACTTCAGGCGAAAGCAACTGGAAATCCGCATCTTCACCAGCACTTGCAGCGTCACCTGAGATTACATCATCTAGAACGAGACCGGGACGACGCATTAATTTGCCGCGTGAAAGTTCAAGTAGTGACAAATTGTCAATTGGTCCAGGAGCACGACCCATGCTAGCAATATCGTCGTTGCTAGGAGAAGGAACGGGCATTTCCATCTCAAACCCGTAGTCGAGGTCACGATTCGAGTCAAAACTCGATGCGGATGACGTAAATGCCAACCAACTACGCAACCAACGGCTAGAAATCACGTACATTTTCTTCTCCGAGCTTCCTCGACGACGTGATAATTTTCCAGCAGCCATTACTCGATGTACTTCTGTAAGTCGGTCACGATATCGAGGTGTTGCAGCGGGGGCGGGCATTATCGGTGATTGACAAGTAGAATCGACAGGAGTCGACTGGCAGTGTCGTTTGGTAAGTGTTGCTGCAACCGCCGTATCTGGCTGAACAACCTCAACACGATCGTCACCGGCACGAGCCATTGCTTGCAACAATCCGCAACACGCGACGCACGCTCGACGAGGGGTTTTAAATTTGTTTGTGAGAGAAACTTGATCTTGTGAGCAAGCACCACACACGAGTTCTCCACACACTCGACAATGATGTCGACGTCGAGAGAGTTTTGTAAACATGGCAAAACATACTCGACAACACGCACTTTCATCATCCTGTCGCCATGTCACGTCATACTTGGCACTTTGTCTTGCTGCTCGACGATAATCACGGCGTCCATCACCAATACTTGTATCAATCTTTTCCGATGCACGTGTGAACGTTTGTGACATTCGTGAAAGCGGTCCTCGACTACGACTCATGACATCTTTTGCTTTTCGACTTGCTGTCACATCCGGTACTGTTGCATCAGTATCGAATCGATCGTCATTGTCATTAGCAGACCGTTTCGATCGTGGAGAGACTTCATCTTCCGACATTTCTCCATCCGTACATATGGATGCATCCAATGTCGAGTCATCAAAGTCACTCACTTTAGGAGTGTAGTATATAATCATAGGTCGTTTACGATCACGAGATAACATTCGACAGTGAGAATGACGTGGTGGTGGTTGAGATGCCCCAAGTCCTTCATTTGTCGTCTTGGAACTGTTTTTTTTACCTTGAAAACGGCGAAAGAGCGACGAGGACATATCTAAACCGCTTGTACGTTCGACTCGTGTACGACGACATGATGGTGAACTGCTCATTATCAACAGTAAAGTAGAAAGGAACGAAGGATTGCACGAAGGAAGGAGGAGGAGGAGGAAGCAGAAGAAGGAGAACAACACCCTTTCAACTTCACCCAAAAAAACTGATTGAAACGGTTTCAGAACGACTCGTTTCGTTTGGTTTGTCTGGTCTCAAATGACAGAGAAAACAAAAAGCGAGGGGATGAGTGGACTTGACAAATTCAATTGTCTTTGATAATACAAAAGAAGGAGAGGTGGCAGGAGTTGCCAACTGTGCACAGGTTAATGCTTTTTAGATAATGGACCGTAGAGGGTTTGTCGAGTAAAAGTGCTTGATGATGGGACGACAAATCACAAAGAAAACCTGATCCTTCACTTTGTCCCAAAAATTCGCGACCCACTGCTATTAAACGGTAAACGCCCCATCGCAGTGCGATACCACGAGGTTGCAACTGGTGGAAGTACTAACTGACCTCATATATTAGTTGCTACAGGTATACACGAGATCCAATTGAGTTTATTTATGAACAATTATCGAATGTGTCTTAACAAGTAAAATTAATTCTTACAGGATTTTGGACAAGATTAAAGTATGGAACTGACGATTTTGATAAGAAGGTTCGATAAACTTGGACGGATTGTTTTCTCTTCATCACTTTCATGTTGTTTGCCACCTTGGTTAGTCCAACCCATGAGTCTATGACCCCCTCCCTACCAGACTGTTTAATTCAATATGAAATCAGATGTATTGATAGGGGTAAGAACTAAGTTGTAGGTAGTAATTGTATCGAGTTGGTAGAATTGAGATCAAGGTGTTTTCAAATTTCAGAAACGTCTTGGAAGGTTTTGAGAGGAGTCAACACTGGTAGCATTTGTGTCTTGCAGTGAGCATGAGGGAATCGGACAACCGACTTACGACATGATATCAACGACGATTCGTGTGTGTTTTTTGTGATGAAGGTTCATTGCAACATCCATGGTCCTACTTTATTCTGTTGCGATGACGAGAAGCTGTAAAGATGCTACCATGTGTCAATCAGTCTGTTGACTCTCACCAGCTGGTATCGTGCTCGCATCTTTACTGCAAAGAGGTCAAGCATGCTTACACACGCTTTCAAAGCAGGGACGTCGTCTCGAAGCATTTGTACGAGGGCAATAGGTTCTGATAAAAAGAAGCTTGGGACATCACCCTTTTGCTGGAACGTGTTTAAGTCGCTAAAGTATCTACTATCAAGACAACAGTTAGTCACGAATGTTGTCGAGTGATGAGATTAACATACTGCTACAGAGTCTCCTGAGCCTGGACGGATTACCTGACCGGCCATAGAGTGTAATCGAGCTTTGCGTGGACAGGCCCATTGTTTTGAGTTCACCCAAACACTTCCAAACCTCTTGGAAAGGCGTGAAACAAAGTCGACTTGGAAAATACATTTGAGCCTTTTTGAGGACGCAATCACCTTTGAACTGCAAAGCTTTGTAGACTAGATAGAGGGTAGAGAGTAGAGAGAGAGAGAGAGAAGAAGAAGAGGCGAGAGCAAAGGAAAAAAAAACTTCTTTGGCATCGAATTGTAATGATGGTTGCAGTCAAAGTGACAGTCATTTGAAGTGAAGCAGGTCGTTTGTTCATTGCAAAGACACTTTTCCTACTCTCTCTATCGTCGTGATAAAAAACAAAGATAATGAATGATGTAGATGATGGTCTGCAATGAACATGAACGTTGTTTCATGGAGTTCATGAGGTGGAGGATCTAGGAATTAATATCAATAGGTCAAAATTTGTTAGAATGAGTTTCCATGCATAACATCAGTGTGCTTCAGGATGATGATCCAAATCAATGGTCACTCTGTCTGGTTCCTTCCGTATAGGACTATTCAGTCGTCGCCTCTTGGACATCTATCGCCTTGCTTATGATCTACATCTCGAACGTAAACTCACTCACGACCGGAAAGTGGTCTGACAAGTTGTACTGTGGTTGGCCATGCCACTTCCATGGCGACGTTGTTGTCAGCGGCTGCACCCAACTCGATGCCGTCTTGGGCTGGCGATGCGTGCGCGAGTAAAGAATGTAGTCCAGCAACTCTAGACTTCCATCCGTACTCAAACCTTCAGCAGCTAAAGCGTTCAGGCGCGGATCAAAACTATATTTGCACATGTGTTTGAACTCCGCCACCGATTGTTTCTTATCAGAATTTGACGCGTTACCAAATGTTCGAGGACGAATGATCGACGAATCCTTGGCTTCAAAAATTTCCAACATCTCGTCATACTCTTGATTCGTCTTGTTTAACCAGTAGTCGACGTTCAAGTCTCCTACGAACAACACAACATCATTCACTTCATCAATATCCATTGCACTCATGAACTTTGCTATCATATCCATCTGCATTTTCCGCACACTTCGTGCAAAAGGATCGTTCCATGCCTGCAAGTGCGTTGCAAATACGTGCACAAGCAGTCCATCCTTCAAAATTTTGCAATACAGCACACCCTTGTCGGCCAACTTATCCGCACCAGCACAAGCACCTTCAAATAGCTTTACCCGAACGCTGAGAATCGGGTACTTACTTGCCAGTAGAACACCTCCGTTGAGCAACTTGCGCATGTTTGACTTGTTCATGCGCTTGTGGCCTACTGTCGGTGAGAAGAAAAAATAGCCCGCCGCCGACATCTTATCCCTCAAAATGTTACGGGCTCGATAATCAAAGCACTCCGTCAACACCCAAATGTCACAAGGTGGCAACACGTCGCCTATCATACGCGCACGAGTATTCTTTCTAGGGGAACAGCTCGTAAACGCGCTCACCTTACGAGGCATCATCCAAACATTGTACGTGCCCACGCTCAACGTCACCTGACGCTTTTCCAAATGGGCCAAGTAGCGGGTTGACTCCTTCGCCATGCACCTTAAGTCGCCGTCTTCACGTAAAGGCACAAGCGTTGTTGACGATGCCTCTGTTGTCAGGTACAGATCGCTGTCCTTGTAGTATTCGCGGGGACGAATGCCACATGCACGGCCGTTAAACTTAGAAATCAGGGACATGGGCTGCCCCCAGCGCAGATACTCATCGCTAGGAGCCACTGGTAGGCGGTAGTTACTGCCAGTCGTTTGATGTCGAACTGGCTCGATTGTCGCCACGTAATATTTGCCCAAGTGATTGTTAAACGACATGTTCGGCAAGTCTCTCATCAACGCTTTCTGTCGTCGTCTTAATTCCTGACGGTCGCGCTGACGGTCACGTTGTTGCTGAAGAGTATCTGTAATGTCTGAGACCATATTCATGTATGACTCCGAAATAGATCGGTAGAACGCACTCGATCCCGACCCTTGCATCCCTGGCACCGATGGCGTCGAACTACGGCGATGACCACGACGCGATGGCGTATTGGCGTCAGTAATGCTGACGACAGTCGCCCCAATCGAATCGTCTCCATTAAAATGCGCATGCCGCTGTGAGTTTGGAACATCGATTGTAGCTTGAAACGCCGTAGGAGTCGAGCTTGTCGTATCAAAGCTGCGACGTGGGACACTGCACTGCGTTCCGCTTGCTGAATGCTTCTGCATACAACTCCGCGGACGTTTGGACGAAACATTCGAGAGATTCTGTAGCTTTCTTCCCCGCGGGTAGCTGCTCAAAACATGCACTTGTCGCTGTGTATGTCCTCGATTCTGACTTTCATCAGTTAGTTCCACGATAAAATCAGCCTGACTGACAGACGAACGCACCGTCAGGTCATTCACTTCGTATTCATGTATTTGATCTTCGTCCTTTGCTGTCGGGTCAGCCTCTGGTCTTGCATCCCCATGATTATTGTTATTCAAGTTACTAGAGGCGACACGCGCCGTCATAAGCGATTGCGGTCTAGTTCGCTTGATCGCATTATAATGCACTGCAGCTTCCTCCATTGCAAAAAGACTTGCACGTACTTGTCGATAAAACGCTAAATTCACTGGTGGTTTACTAATCGTCACGGCTCCTCGATGTGTTAAATATCGAATCGCTCGTCCCGTTTCAGCATGAACAACAACCAAGGGTGTTCCAAATTTTACAGGAAGTCCAAGACTTGCAAACACAAGTTGTTGTGTTTTAACATCAAATTCAAACAATCGAAACGCCACGGATCCATGTGGTACTCTGTTTTTGTGACCTTGCACCGAGTTCTCCATGTCTCCTGCTGCTTTACTTGTCCTTGTATACCCACTCGTAGCATTTCCAGTTGATTTTCGTTTACTACAATGTCCCTGTTCTCCTAATAAAGGCACAGACTCTCCACTCTCGTGTGCTACTTGGTCTTCATGCCTCTTGACCTCGTCTTCATTGTATACTTTATCACCAAATAATGCTGCATATCGTTTACGAAATAATCCTTTCCGCCATATAAAAAACCCAGCAATGCCCATGAGTCCACCACTTGCTAATGTCGAAGCTGCAACAAGCGCCATTTGCTGATACGTGAGATTAAATTTACGTGTTAATGCTAAGAGTTGTCCATCACATAGAAATGCAATGCGATCACCATAACAAATATATTCTTCATTCACATGAGATGCTAAGGAAAAATACACAGAGGTTCAGAATGATGGTCATCTTCTATATATTACCACCCACTAAAATTAATAAATTACCAACGTACAATCATTCTTGGTTTTATGACATGGATGCACAATACGTTGACTTTTACTTTGAAGCAGTGGTAATTCATCCAATTCGTCAACGTTTGACATGGTTTCAATTCGTATAAATAGAAATAAAACAATGTTCTTTATTAGGATGGAGTTTACGTGTGACGTTAGCAGAAAACCACGTTAATATTACTCTTGCGAAAATATTGACTTGAGACTTTAGACGGTGTTGCAAGTGCGGACTAGACGTTATTTTTAAAACTGACGAAAGTAATTTATTATATCCTAGTCCTAAATGTGTCGTATGCCTAAAATTACTACGTTTGGGCAACTAAAACCATGTAGATTTGGATTTGCAAACGGATTTGAGAGGATATGAATGGATTCGAAAGGGTTTACAATGCCATGGATCCGAAATTAAGTCTGACCCTTTTTTTGTGCAGAGTGAAAGCTGGGGCGAAACATTGATAGAAAAAACTCCCGTACTTCATTCGGTTGTATGCAATAGCTTGCATCGTTATACTTCAACCAAGACAAAAGCTAACCCAGATATGCTAAATCATAGGTGATAGTCGTGCCTTAAGCTTCCTTCATCTTCTTGAACTCGTAAGTTTTTCTCTTCAACTTTGTATATACAGGTTTATAAGCCTATGGGATGTAATAAATGCTTTTCATGAGCTATGTGCAACATATTTCTGGAGGTAATATATTTCGAAAGTATAAAATACTGTCAAACGTGGTCACTATCGTGTAGCAATATATAACAAATCCCACATTCTACGCAATCATCTTCCCAAATAGTTCCGGAACATGTTTCCTTCACTGTATATACGTGCATTCTATGTGTTAATGTTCTCTTTGTTGATACATCCAAGTCTATTTACTTTATGATACTTAGACACAGTATTAACAGCGTCATTAATTACCAAACGTCATTCTTATTTTCTGATACATATTTGCATCCAATGGAAAAGAGACCGTAATATAAAGCACAGGGGTTACAATCCCTCGTGTGTAAGATTTGGCGATAGACGCGCTCTAATGAATCTTTGAAGGATTTCGTGAGTCAAGTAAGATAAGCAGATGCTAATTCATCCATTGCACTGTACAAAAACGTTGCATGCCGATGTAATACACGGTAGCAAAAAAACAACATTGTTGTGGTGCTTACATATCTTTTACGACTCTTTATTAAAACAATAAGAGCATGCTGTTTGTTTTAGACAAGTTGTCAAATCTATTGAGGCAAACAGGGACGCTTTGAATCGAACAACGTACAGGCTACAATGGCTGCTACTGTCTCTAGTTCAGGTTTTAAGCTCCGGTTCTGCTTGAGCTATGGCACCAGGATATACGCTATCGTCTAAATTGTCTACTTTGTGCCGACTGTCAACTCAATGCTGCGTATTGTGTTAGGAATGATACATTTCTTGTTATAGATTTTACTCATCTACTACTTACTGTGATTGTAGCACATGTGAGGTATGAAAGTGGTCAGAAAACCTATATACTTTCTCTGCTTCAGAGTCTTGCATGATCATCAATTAGTACACAAACCAAGGCTACACCTTAGCTCTGATAGGCAGTGACTTTCATGCATTACAGTCGTATTAACTGACGCTATGCCAGCTCGTACTATCGCCACTAACACGATAACTGACCTTTATTCGTCCAGGTCCACATCCGTACAGCCACAACATGGTATTAAAGCTGACAAAACTGTCGTTGGCTACATCATAATGCATCAGTCTAATAGTTGAGTCGATACAGTTCTGACTCCATCATAAATCATGGATACATGAATGACGACTGCTTATAGGTTCAACCGCTTGAACAGCATCTTGCTTTCTAGCACCTTTCACAAAAGAAAATTCCCTCATTCTTTGCACTGTAAAAACGGCAATTGTGTTGAGCATTTCACCGAGCTGAGACTCCATGAGTTAAGACACACACACAGCACAGACACTTCAGCCTAAAGACTGTGGTTGGTGCGCAATCAAGATTTGTCATAGTGGATAAGCGCGTTGCCGTTGCGTGTAGAAACAGAGCGACTTCACATCTTTAATGATAGTTACAAACAGACGTGCGCATAAACCGTCCTGTAGCAGCTGCACAACGATCAACTAGTGCCCTGCGCTTCAAGTTGCATGTTAGAGCGAGATAAACAGACGGAGCTGCAAATGAAGATAGGTTTATTTTAGTGTTTATATTACATATATAGAGTAACAAGATGGTGTTTGATTGTATTGATTGATGATACAAAACAGAGAAAGAAACGTTACATAAAAATAACGGCGGTGACTGGATATAATAAACAAGGCTTTCAAACTACATGCTTTCTCGAGTGTTGTTGACCCAATGTATCACGAGATGCTATGTATCAACTAGATGCTCTTTTTCTATAGAACATTTCAGCTTGTCTCGATCTGAATTGCAAGGTTATCATTATCTAGAGGTATTTCTATATAACGACAGTAAGCAACAATATATTAGTAATATTGAAGCAACAATATATTAGTAATATTGAAGCAACATTAGATGCTATTTCATATGTAGTTATCAGACAGGCTCATATACTTTTCAAAGTAACCATAACTCCATGACTCAACAGCTTTTTCTAACAATTCGTATCATAAATAATACAAATGGCAAGATATCTAATGGCTAAAACAGCATCAGCGACCCTGGCCTTATTTAAGCATCTGAGTCTTCGTCTACACACGACCATGAGGCACGTGGTCATGCTTTACTGAACCTTCAGTCACCACTGCTGATACCAATTGTTCTGGTGTCGTAATTTCCACAACAATGTCATTCACTCGTGGAATATTGTGCGTAATGGCGCTCTTGACCTTCTGTTTCCATTCGACAGCACGGTCCAGAGCAGAAGCATTGTCAACTACTAGTGTCAGATCAACATGGATATGGCGACCGACCTTACGACTCCGTAGTTGACGAACACCCAAAACTTTGCCATCACTGCTTGCAATCACACCGTCAACAGCACTCTCAAGCCTTTTGATGATAGTATCAGATAACTTGGCATCACACAACTCTTTCGTCGAGTTCCAGCCCATTTCTGCGCCCATTTTGAGAATAATTCCACCCAGAGCAATACCAGCTAATGGATCAAAGAACGGAAAACCCGCTAGACTCAATCCAATACCACTCATTGCCACCATACTCGTGACAGCATCACTACGGTGGTGCCACGCATTTGCAATAAGCACAGATGAGTGTAGACGTTGACCGATGCTGATAGTCGTGCGAAAGAGAGCTTCCTTAGCCACCACAGACAATGCAGCAATACCTAATGCAGCCGGGTGCATAACTATCTCATGTGCATGATTGTGGACTGACTTGACCATATTCTTTACACTTTCTGTCTCAATCTGTTCCGCTAATGGTGTCGTATTTCCCATAGACGTCGAGAAAGGCTCAATCAATACCATGAGCGAGTCTAAAGAGTGTGCGATAATCCCAAAGGATCCTCCTACCAATAGCAATGACACTGATAAGGCACCAATGGTTTCAAATTTACCGTATCCATAAGGCTGCAGTGCATCCGGTGGTCGTGCACAGTATTTCAGTGATCCAATCGTGACAAAATCACTCACCAAGTCACTGATCGAGTGTACAGCATCTGCCAAAAGTCCAGATGAATTAAACGCGACTCCTGCTGCTCCTTTTAATCCACCAAGTACGACATTAAGCCATACACCAACCCATGTAATCCGATCAGCCGCTTTCACGTCGTTTGATGACAAATCAAGTCTCATGACTCGATTTTCCATTGATTCTTCATCTTCCAATGACGATCCATGACTATGACCATGCCATCGAGATGTGATATTATAGTGCTTTAGCCTTGATACTAATGAACACTTGGACACATGAAGACGACAGAAGGAATGATATTCTTCATATTGACATGCAAACAAATATCTTGAGATATCTTGACGTCGTATTGCATGTCGACGACTGGACCAGGGCTTGATCAGTCATGAGTATACAAATATAGAAATAAAATATAGAAATACAGTAATTAACTCCTAACATGTCTCGATAATAATGACTGACTGTATAACATACCGGAGAAGCAAATGTGCACTCATTGTTAGAGATCGTTGATAGTTGTTTTTTTGAACTGGACTCTCTCTCTCTATCGTAATAGCTATCAAGACGATTCTTAGATTGTGCGAAGAATGCGCAGTTCAAACGGACGAACGTTCGTTCGTGAACTAGTATGGCTACACGTACCAATTTAATGTAAACCACATTGTCAAAGGTTGATCGGTGACACATAGATATCGACAAAAACAATGACGACGTGTTGTCACCATGTGCAAAACAATGCAATATATTTTTGTGCGTCGTCTCAGATTATGTAGTATTTCATACCTTCCTGTACAAGAACACCAGTCTGATTCTGACGTAGCATTTTTTATCGATGAGCAAGCTTGGTTGATAGAGTCGACATGGCCTTCACTTTACCATCAGGCACCATAAACATAACAATTGGTTTGTCATCAGAAATGTATGGCACATCCACACGAAAGTACCCACGACGCTCCAGCTGTACAACTTCACCCGCTTTCATATTACGGAGCTCATGGTCACCCACTGCGTGCATTTCAGCACGTGTTGTCTCCGTGAGATAATCGTAAAAGTTATCACCTTCTTCCAGCTTGGGCTTGTTAAGCAAATGATCAAACTCCACCAATGTCAATGGCACTAGATCCGGCACATCAGCCAACCACGTGACTTTGAGCTTTGTCTTCTTGAAATCACCTTTCGGATAATCCTCCGCCTCGACACTCGTGATCGTACCGTCCGCAGTCTTGTTCACCTTCTTCACAATCATGTTGCCGTGACGCATCAAAGTCACCTCCTCACCCACGACAAAGTTTGCTACGTCGTCACGCTCAAGCAGTAGCTTGCTGCAAAAGCGTACCATCTTGTTTCCCATGGACGGGTCTTTTGGATGACGGGCCACTGGGATTCCAATTACCTCACTCGACACATTCGTCAGTGTAAGTCGTACTGACGACTCCTTGGCAATAGCAAAGTAACGCGGAGCAATTGGATCTAATACGCGCTTGTTAAGCGTCCAAAACTTGTCCCACTCCATGTCAGTTATACGACGTGAAGCACCCTGGCTTAGAATGAACTCGCGCAACGCTTCCACCTGCACACCGCGACGCAGCACACCTTGCACCGTCGGAAAACGCGGGTCTGTCCAGCCCTCGACGTGGCCGTTGTCCACGAACCACTGCAGCTTCCGCTTCGATAGCACCGAATACACAAAGTTCATTCGAGCAAAACTCTGGATGATCACCTTGCGCAATTGAAGCGTGTCAAGAACCCATTGGTACTGGAAATCACGATCGTTGTACTCCGTCGTACGCAGCGCGTGGGTCACACCCTCCAAAGAGTCCACAATAGGGCACGCAAGATCATACGTCGGGTACGCCTGATACTTGGTTCCTGTGCGGTGGTGCGGCGTCGGGTTCAAACGATAAAACACAGGGTCACACATCGTCTTGTTCTTGGCCTGCATATCGATCTTGCCCCGCATGCAGTAGCCCTGAGCATCAGGCGCATTTTTCAGCATCTTTTCAAATAGCGCTAAATTCTCTTCCGGAGTCTGGTCGCGGCACTTTGAGTTAATGCCTTCCATACGCTCTTCTCGCATTTGCTCTTGCGCCGTGTTGTCCATATACGCGTTGCCCTCGCAGATCATTTGACGAGCAAAATCCGCGATCTTCGGAAAATAGTCCGATGTGTAGGTCACTACATCTGGCACGATATCAATGCGCTTCAAGTCTGCGATAATACTCTGCTCAAATTCGTCCTTCTCCTTGCTCGGGTTTGTGTCATCGAAACGCACAATGAGTTTGCCATGGTAGCGGCGTGCATAGTAATTGTTCAGCATACAAGCCTTAATGTGGCCGATGTGCAGATATCCAGAAGGCTCTGGTGGAAAACGCGTCACGACCTGTCCATCTACAGCATCCTTTAGAGGTGGACAGGTTCCCATATCCTTCGTCTTCTCCACAGGTCCAACGAAAGCAGGCGCTTTAATAGGTTTAAGGGCCTTCAGTGAGCCGTCAACCTTAGCAAACAGTGATTGATACGCTTCCAAGTGCGCCAACCAGCGAGTGACGTTCAAATATGGCGATAGATCTAGCTTCTTCTGCAGTGGAGAGATGCTTGCCCAGACACCAATATCCGCAAGAGACAAAGCGTGACCTACAATAAAAGTCTGTGTCTTAAGCACACGATCCAGAATCTGTAATCCTCCATCATCTTCCATAGTAGCACCAAGACGAGTAAGAGCGAAATCAAGCCATGCATCAATTTGCGAAGGTGGTACAGCGGCTTTCGTAGCTAATGCATCTTTTGCTGCTACGCCGTATAAACCCAATTCTGGCTTGATGCGAGCCAAATACCGTGCAATAGCAAAGTCGCCCGACACAATACGGCCATCTAATAACGTCAGTGTCGGCACAAGAGCAGAGCTCAATGTATTACGACCATAATTACGAAAACCAGGTGTATAATTGATAAGCTGTGCCACAACATAACTAGCACGAGGTAATTGACCAGCACTTGAAAATACAATCACACCATTGTCTTCCATGGAATCAGGAATAGGTAGCTCCATACCTCCATGTACAGCCTTCTTCAGTATCTTGTTACTCTCACTTTTATCTGCTTTCACAGTAGCAGTACCAATAGGAACAGCACAAACAACGCCAGCTCCTGCTCCTGTTCCTGCTGCTGTAGCTGTAGCTTGTGACTTGTCTACGACACCAGCTTTGACTGCATTCTTGTGTGCTTTCTTACGCTCTTTATTCAGCTCTTTCTTTGATTTTTCCGCTGTTTGGGATGGTTTTTCCGGCTGTAATGGCGTCTTTTTACTCTTACGCGGTGGATCAAATGCTTTCCCTGTCACGTCTTTAAACTGCGTCTTGAGTGTCAATAACTGCGCTACAAGCGTCTTAATCTCATCAGACGCTTTCCCTCCATCGTTTGCTGCCTTGAGATGGCGTATCTTGTCCCCAATCGCAGCAATTTCAGCGCTTAGTTCGGCTTCCATTGGCATCTTCGAGGGAGTTTAAAGCCTTCTTGAGCTTCTGATAACCACCCAAATGAATGAGAGAATGTGCCGAAAAGATGGTACACTGAAGACATTTAGATGAGATTTCAGTGAGATTTTTCACTTTGGTCGTGTAATTTTTGCGCTCACTTGGCAATATTTGTGAATATTTTCAGTGTCATATCTCAACATTTTTGGACACTCTATTGTGTTTATTGCATTGAATTATCACGTCAAAAGCTGGTGATGACACAGGGTGTGCTATAGCTCTATACTTCTATACCAAAGCATGTGACGATCGATGCTCAGTGAATATGAAGTGATGTAATGGCTTTAGCCTGTGCAGCAAGAGTCTCAGGTCGTTCACGTTTCATTGCAGCTTGACGTAATCGATGTGCGACTGCAAGTGACGTCGGACGTTTGCTTGGATCCGGTAAGACACAATCATGAGCAAGCTTTTTGATAGCATCCGGGCATGTCACGCGAAATGAAGGCTTCCAACCGTTGGTTACAATACGATGCACTAAGGTGCTTTCGTTCATTGATCGCACATTGCTGTCATTGTTTGTGCTTTCGTTCGTACTTGTAAAAGAAGAACGAGTTCCCGCCTTCTCTCGTTCATGAAATGGCAGCTCACAAGTGTCAATCTCGGACAAGACGATTCCAAAAGCATACACATCAGACGCAATAGACGTCTGTGCTCCACATTTAATCAATTCTGGAGCCATCCAGCGTCCAGTGCCATAAGCTCGAGTGCCATAGTCGGACATTTTAGCACTGCTCGTGCCTTTTCCTGCCAAATTCGCATCTTTGTCCTCGTCGGACGAAAGGTAGCGCGAAAGACCAAAGTCGGCCAATTTTGCGCGAACATTGTCACGCAGCAAAACATTAGCTGACTTGATGTCGCCATGTACCAGGGACGGGCTAAGCGAGTGGAGATACACAAGCCCTTCGATGATGTCAATAGCCAAACGCCATTGGTGTCGTGTCCACGTCCAAACGCTTTGAAATCCACTGTTTAGCCCCATAGAATTGTCACACTTGCGTCTCATGGCGCCAAGAAATGTTTTAAGGTCGCCTCGCGGCAAGTACTCCATGACCAGAAAAATATCTCTCTCATAGCTCAAAGCTACACCACGAAACTCGACAATTCGATGATGCTCTAGCCTTGACATGATGCGTATCTCCTCTATAAAATCCAAAATAGCGCAACGGCGGCGATAAACAGCACTAATATCACTCCCACTGAAAGAGGTTGGCGATTTGGCACTGGCCATGACTCGTTCCACCAAACCCTTTATCACGACCTCCTGCGAACGATATATGGCTCGCCATACTTCGCCACACGCGCCAGCCGTCAGCTTTTCTTTTTTAATGATCGCATCAAAATCGACACAGTGTGACAACAGTTCTTCGTCTTCCCAGATAGACGAAACACACGGGAGGTCCGATATCAAAACAGACGCTTGCTTTTCTACTGGCTTTTCTTCGAACTTCTGCAAGCTTTTTGCCGCAATCGTCCTTGCCACTTCTTCTTCTACCGTCAATCTATTGGTGACAATATCCTGATCACACGGAACTTGGTGTGATACCAGTTTTCGTGCTTCACAGACGCTACGGTCCAAGCTCTCTGTTTTCCTCACATCTTCTTGTTTGCTTTTGCTTCTTGGTCTTGAGGTCGAAAACAATCCACTTCCAAATGATCCCCAATAGCTGCTTACAGAACGTGTCGGCCGTCTTTTACTCTTTGTCGCGTCCTCAAACACAAAGTCTGGATCCATAATCATCTCCTGCAAAATGTTTTCTTCAATCATCCTCTCCATGCTTCCACCATTCTCTTCGCCTTGTTTCTCTTGCTTTATCTTTTGTCTACGAAATGCGTAGCTCTTCATATGATACTTGAAACAATGAATCCAGACACTACAGGCCTTTGCTGATACAGCTTTGAATTTCTCCTCTTTCAACTTGTATACAACATCATCATCTTGTTCTTCCAGTACGATATCTCTCGTCACGTCATCTATTTGACCTTTAATGTCCACTCTCTCCTTCTCGTCTTGCACATATCCTTGTATCAATAAACTGTTCTCGGCACGATTTGTGAGTGTCACTCTTGCGAGTTTCATATGGCGTAACAATGTGTCGTGCTCGTCATTGGAATAAACATAAAACTGCGCCTGTTGTGCCTGAAATACACAAAAACGACGACGATAATAATGAAAAATACCACGCCCTTCACGACGCCATAACCAGCCTTTTAGACTGATAGGAAACACCATTTTATGCTCACAAGATGTAGAAAAAGTTTGTTGTTCTTCTACATATTCATAAATACCGTGTTTAGCTTCACATACACGACGTTTAGCTCCAGAAGTGCCAATGGTGACGCAATCTTCCATTGGTTTGAGCTTTTCGATTTCAACTGAGATTCTTTTCCTTCGATGATGATTGGCTAGTTAATGAATATGACAGTAGAGAGGTTTAAGTAAAATAAAATGGCTTTTTTGGAATTTTTATAAAAAGAGATTATTTTAACATAAAACCAATCATGATGTGGGTACATATACCGGTATCATACCGGCCTTTCATACCACGCGGCAGTCTTCCATTACACGAACATACCGTAACTGTCGATTGTCGTCCCTCATGGTGTTATCAGCTGTGTTTATTACCGATTTAAAAGGTAAATCCATTGTATCACGTAATTATCGTGGAGATATTCCAATGTCTGCCTCGTCCAAGTTTACCCATTATGTACAAGATAAAGACGATTCAGAGCAACGTCCTGTTTTCACCGAGGACGGTTACACTTTTGTGTATCTAAAGGTACGTAGGGGTTACACAAAACCAACATTGACCCTAAAAAATGTATTTGGATAATAGTATACACTTGATGAGGATTATCCGGATACAAGTATACTAATCTGATACTGTCACTGTTTATCCGTATATATGTATACACTTTCTTCTTCTTCATAGCATAATAATCTCTATCTCATGACTGTAACCAAGACAAATTCAAATGTAGCACTCATGCTCATGTATTTGACACGTATTTGTCAAGTATTTCGTGATTATTTTGGTGAATTAGAAGAAGAAAGTATACGTGATAATTTTGTCATTATCTTTGAATTACTGGATGAAACAATGGATCATGGCTATCCTCAGACCACCGAAGCTCGTATATTACGAGAATATATTACACAGGAAGGACACCGATTGGAAGCCGCACCACGTCCACCAACAGCTCTAACCAATGCTGTTTCATGGCGTAGTGAAGGAATCAAGCATCGTAAGAATGAGATTTTTCTTGATGTGGTGGAAAAATTAAATTTACTTGTATCAAGTAATGGGACAGTACTGCATTCGGAGATTATTGGAGCTGTCAAGATGAAGAGTTTTCTATCAGGAATGCCAGAATTGAAATTAGGACTGAATGATAAAGCACTTTTTGAAGCAACAGGTCGATCATCTACGAAAGGAAAAGCAGTGGAAATGGAAGATATTAAATTTCATCAATGTGTACGACTTGCTCGCTTTGAATCGGATCGAACGATCTCGTTTATTCCACCCGATGGAGAATTTGATCTAATGACGTATCGGTTGGCTACGCACGTGAAGCCACTCATTTGGGTTGAAGCTGTTGTCGAACCACACTCGCGCTCACGTATTGAGTACATGGTCAAGGCCAAGTCACAGTTTAAGAGTCGTAGTATTGCAAACAATGTAAAGATTGTGATTCCTGTGCCTCCTGATGTTGACTCGCCCAGCTTCAAGTGTAGCATTGGCTCAGTAACGTATGTGCCTGATCGTGACGCTATCATTTGGTCCATCAAGCAGTTCAACGGTTCACGCGAGTATTTAATGCGCGCACACTTTGGTCTACCTAGTGTGGACAACCACGAGTCGACCGATGACTGGAAGGCGCCAATCCAGGTCAAGTTTGAGATTCCCTACTTTACAGTCTCGGGCATCCAGGTGCGCTACCTCAAGATCATTGAAAAGAGTGGCTACCAGGCATTGCCATGGGTCCGCTATATTACTCAAAACGGGGATTACCAGCTACGCATGTCTTAGATGTATCTTACCGTCAACGAAGAAGAAGGCGTTGTGCAGGTGTTTACAGCTGATTAGCCGGTAACTGATTGATTAGGATTAAGATGCTCAATGAAGGCATGTGCGCATGATGAAAGTCAGGACAGCAATTGTTTGGTAAGTAAATGGTGAGAAAGTGGCATGGTAAACGTTGTGAAGATGCTTTTTTTTGGGCTTAGACTTCCATTATTGCTGAATGTAAAGATGTGTATGAGGTGGTTGTCTTTCTTTAAATGTTGGCTCGGATCAGGTCACTTGCCCAGGTATCTTGAACAGGTGTGTAACAGTCTAAATCTGTCGCATTGCGTATGAAGACACGAAGATTTAGTGGGGACGCCTGTATCAATGCTTCAACACTAGACTTACATTGCAAAGCTGCAGAACGTCGCTTAAGATGACCACGCGACCAGACTTCAGTTAGAGTTTATTTACCGCTCCCTGCCTACGCCAGATGGCTGTGCCTGCATGCTCGAGAAGATGCATGCTGGGGTTCATCTCCGGAATGTTTGAGCTTGCGCAGCTCAGTAGCTTTGTGCAATACGTTATGTCACCAGGTGATCGCCAGGTCTTTTCAACTCTTCCTTCGTTATTTGTGAGGTGAGTGAGGCCAAATGCAATGAATAGCAAGTTTGATTTCATAGCTAAGGCATCCATCGAGCAGGTTCCACGGGAACTCTTGCTACTGCAACTAGCTGGTCACCGCTGCTAGTTGACACTGATGCCCTTAAGATATACGTGAATCTAAGGACAGCCACTCACAGCTTTGTCAGCACCATGTTACCACATCATACCACAGGTTTGCTACTTTGCTGCTGTTTGGCCTTTAAGGTCTCAAAAACAGCTTCAACTCGAAGCTTACAGCTCATTGAGCGCATACAACAAGTTGTAGTCAGAAGTCCATTGAGACCTAAGCACGGGTCAGAAAGCTATCTTAGTGAAAGCCTTCACTACTGTTGTCAGGACCATCTTAGCATATATGTCTGACCCATATACTGTTACCTGTTACCAAATGGCACTTCAACAAAATGATAGTAGCTTCAGGAAGGAGACATCGCAAGAGTGTTATCAACTGATAGTAACATGCTGCAACATGAAGTACAAGCAAGAACAATATTCCAGCTTCATAAAGTCATTACAAAAAGACGCCATCCTTTCATCAAAAGCGTTTCAGACAAATATTGCTCCCATACTCTTCATACTCCTTCTTGCTTACGACGCGTTCAGATAGCGCATCCGACCTCGCCAAAGAACAACAACCTTGCCATGCTGCGAGTACTGGACTGCAATTACGCAATACAAGCAAATCAGCAAACATATAAGAACCAAAATCAGAAAACAACCGACAAAGCAGACTACTTACTCTGTTGGCTCATGCAAACCAATGTCAAAATCAACTGGTACCAACGACCGTAAATCACGCTCAAGACGCTGCCGAAAGTTCCTAAATTTTGTGTTTCCTCCAACTAGTAGGATGTTTGCGTAAAAAGCATCCGAAAGCTCTTCAGGACACGCGTTAACAGCCTGTACGATAGTCTTTGCGATTCCCGCCTGATGGATACCAATGTCTGATGGATTGAACAGTACCTCCGGCACTGCCACCATCTCAACCCCCCATTTCCAACGCTTGCTCCTCTACGTCTGTCTTCACAGGCCGTACCTCGTCGTTTGCCTCTGCAAGCTGCTCTTCATCATCTTGGACAATGCCATCTTCACGGCATCTTCCCGTAAACGTATGAACAAAGTCAGGCAAAATCCAGTGCTTTCTTTCCTGTCGATCAGTGTGGTATCGATGCAGGTCATTTTTAAATTCCATAGAGCAATAGCAGAGTGTCTCTTTCAACTCATTAATCACTTGAGTATCATCCATCACATTCCACTGACGGAATGACACGATCTCCTTGAGGTAATTTGTTAGCAGCTTACCACCAACATTAATGCGTCTCACACCTGGTGCATGAACTTTTCCGTCAATCACTGGTACCACGTGAGTGAACGAAAAGCCAGAATCCACTACAAGATGACACGATGATGTCGAAAACCGAAGCGGATCTTCATCCACAAGGAAAGCAGACGTCGGTGAATTAATCCCCATAGTCTTATTCCTTTGTTCCGTACAAAAACTTGTTTTTGCTGGAAACGTCATGCTCTCGATCTGATTCTTCTGATACTCACGTTCACAGTGCTCCGAGTACGATAGCACACAACTTTCAGCTGCATTGACACGAGCATAAGCCTGCAAACCTATTTCTTCAAACACGACTTGGTCCATGGTCTCATTTACAATTGTAGGTGCTAATAATGGAGCTGTAACTACTAATGAACACTCGGTTAACTCCTTTACGTTTAATATCTACAGTAAAAGAACAACCAAATCAATAAGATTAGTATACAGAATGTTAGAGAGAGAGGAAGCATGATAGAGCAACTTAAAAACTTGCTTCATTGGACAGAAGATGTATCCAGAGCTCAGACTCGACGTTCCAATTGACACAGTACCCTCTTTATTAGTTTCACACGTCACAGAAATAAATGTACCCTTAGTATACCCCCCTATAAAAGTGTACCCCTCTTTTCAATCTTAATGTCACCTTTGCACAGGCCGTAGGTAGCGCAACTTAACACGCTGTCGTTCATATTCCTGCAACTTCTGACCCATGATCATCATTGACGGGTTTGTAGATGTATAAGCTACATGATTTGCAAGTATTGAGGCAGTGGATGGTCCATTAGAGGTAACAATTGATGCCTTGAGCGTCGCTCCACCAGCATCAAGCGCAATGACCTTCATTTTGACAACAAAGGTTACAAAGTGTACCCCCACGCGTACGTTGCATGAAAGTTGCATAAATAACCAGTTGCAAGTTGACAACTCGCGACTCCCAATGAGCAACGTAATATGGTACGGTTCGCAAGATAAAACACATTGCGGCAACAGCTATGACGTCTATGAAAACGTCCGTAGCACATGAGAAAGCGAATGATCTTGTATTTTCGCCCAACTGGGAGAAGGAGTTGTATGTTTTCTATCGATTGCATACTTTTTTATTGTATATGATGTTTCCTATCGCTCTTATGGTGTTAATTTGATATATGGGTCTGTTTGTATTTTTGTATCTAGTTTTACAACGTGGTTACGGCTGATGGAGCGTCAAAAGGATGAACAAGACTTGACCCAAACACTACAAAGTCTATTAAAACAAGATGGAGATGCAATGATTATCGTACAAGAAGCAAAACATCATGCAAATATGATGCATGCGAATAACAAGACAATGGCGGATCTCGTGGCACAATTGAATGAGTTTTTCTTCCGTGATATTGTACCAGCACTTCATAAACTGAGACAAGGAGTAGAGACGATGAGATACGATCGTTCAATGCCATTACAACAACGACAAGCAGATCCATTGGATCAGTACTTGGAACATGGAGATGAAGAAACAGTCATGCCTCAAGCTTTTGTGGACAATATGAGTGGATGGGCAGCACCTTTTGAATCGATTGGTTCTGGACAGAAGAAAAAAATGGGGCACGAGAAGAACATGAAACAGGCAGAGATGCTGTTGTATAGTTCATTACAAACTGGGGAAGAACAAGGTGATGGGATAGCCAAGAACGATAAGAATTTACATTATGGGAGCGCAAATGATATGTACCAAAAAATGCCGAGTGTAAACAGCCTGAAGGTGGACGCTATGCTAAATGTAGACTGTTCAACTATGGCAGCAGCGTACGCTTCACAGCAACAAACTGCACCGATGCCGAACATGATCGTGCCACAGGGAAGGCCTGCTGGATCGAAAACAAAAGCACACTCATCTGCTGTTGGCAGACCAAAGAATCAGTCATCCATTTTTTCAAACACCAAAGTGATGGTAGACAATGGCGAGGTGAAGAACACGCATGAGAATGTGCCATCGTCAACATTAGGCTACCTTTCCTCTCGATCGAGGTCCGTCTCTAAATCGACGTCACGAACGGAACCGCACAGTACTTCCAGTTTGACTAAAAGGAGAGGTTGTATCGGCAAAAAAGCTGCATCCGGTTTGGTTGCCGACCAAGTCTTGGATGTGCGTACGTATGGAACTGTAAAGGAATATCTCATTTGCTGGCAAGGTCTATCAGCACCGCGATGGATTGCACGTCAAAAATCTTCACCTCAAGCCAAAGAGTTAATTGACGCGTACGCTGCAGCGTTGCGTAGACGAAATGCTCCGCTTTCAAGGCATGGCCGAGGAGGTAGTACGAGTGGGCGAAAAAGGGCCTCAAGAAATGGAGTAAATGGGCAGGATGGCTCTGGAGCTGAAGAGGTGAAATTTTATGTTGTCGACCATATTGTGAATCATCGTATGCATTACAACAAACGGCAATACCTTGTTCGGTGGGAGAACTACTCAGCGAGCCAAGATACATGGGAGAATGCCGCCAAATTACGCGCAGATGTGCCTGATATCGTTGACGCCTACGAAGAGAAACTTCAGCAAGATCAGACTCAAACGGACGCTGTTCACTCAACCATGTCCAAGACAATTTGTGATACCACTGCTGCATCAAAGCTCCCAACAACAAGAAGGAGCAGTGAAAGTGCAGAGGGTGCTGCAGACGGGAGCACGACACAGGTTTTGCAAAGTGTAAACCAAGTTGCTGAGCAAGAAACCTTGGAAAAGCGACAGCACATTTTTACAGATGATGAAGGAAAGCAAGATGGTGTCACTGAAGATATTACGAGCAAAGATGACTCTCATGTTGACGTGAAAGATGAGAGCTGGAAGAATGTAGCAACGAAGAGGTTGCGGACAATTTAAACGCTTGATCCGACGCTATTCGTTCGATGTTATTTTCCCTCTAGTTTTTCTAGAAATCAAAGAGATTATTGGTGTTATTGATGTCGATGACAAGTAATAGCATGACCGTGCGTATGGAGTTTACATTCGTACTTGTGGTCCGACATTTATTTTTCGAGATGTGCTTGATGGTTCTGCGATATGAATTATCTACCCATACGTACAAGTGTAGCAGTTAGCAGTATAGGCGTCGAGACGAATCCTCTATTTGGAATCAACCGTCGTTGTCGAAGGGAGCTCACGTTGTACTGATGAACGATCACATGTGATGGTACAATCTGCTGACACCCCAAGAAACGGAACACAATGTGTCTGCTTTTGATTCTCTAAAGTGGCAATTTTTGCACGAACTCCCTGTTTATTGGGAGCAATACAAGAAGGACCTTATCTTAGAACTTCTAAGCCAACAAAACTAACTGAAGCAAACGTGACCTTCCTGTCATGTCTTGTCATAACCTGGCTACATGATGGGCTCGTCCTCAAGAGTCAATTGTTCATGTAGAACCTTTACGCAGTAGCAATTCCAAGCCAATAGCTCAATATACGCAACATGACGGAAGTCGGTAGAGTCAAAGTGGTCGGTAAGAAGCTACAATTTGATCGAAGTGGCACTGAACGATGCTCGAGTGGTAAAACAAGGGGCTGCTGCTGTATGTAGTCTTGTAAATTGTATTGTCTCTTACCCACATGAGCAGCAAGTGATCCCTGGACACCAGTATCTCATGTTACACAACTGTATACTTTGAATATGATAAGCAACGTTATACAATGAGAACTATTCAAGTATTGTGTGGTCACGTTTCGTACTGATTGGAAGCAAAAAGAGAAGCAATACACTGCAAAGTGCAGTCTTTAACTTACGACAATGTGCTGGTAATGTGAGCTGCATATCGCTGTAAGACGATCTGCTATTTCTGTACTATATATGTGACTCGTGTTATAAGGCGACCTTCTGATCACAACACTCTCGTAACTACGATACTGCTTGTATCGTGTTGGTACAAGTATGACGCACCTCATAGATAACCGACCACCGGGATCAACGACCTTCTTCAATGAACACACAACAGCATCTTTGTGTATCGGTAGTAGCTACTTTGCTGCAATAGTAATGCAATGGCATTGTACGATGTCTCTATACTTTAAATGGCTACTATACGTACTTGCAAACTGATTCAATCTACTCGAATCTATATAAACCGATACAGAGGAAAGAACTAGTTCATCACATGACTTACAAGATGCAAGCGATGTGTGTTAGTACGTACATCTATTCAAATGATATTGCGTTTCTTTTCCACCAATATTGTCAAACACTGTTGAGTCAAGTGATCGTTAAGGTGTAGCAACGACTGTACTTTTTTCGATAGAAGGCTGCATTACTTACCTGTGACAGTATCTGTTTTGTAGCTCACCCTGTTGCTGTCTGTCAACATCAACCTTATCTACAATAGTACGATAAAGCATACAATAGTTGGTAATGAATGTACCTTTATCAAACCTCTGATCTTTACTTTTTTTCACGAAAATTGCGGTTACGTTTATTCAATTGATAAATGTACCCGTAACAAGTAAAAATAGGTAAACGTGCTCTAAAAATTTGCGTTTTTGCATCCAAAGTACTTTATTATATGACAAAAAGACGAGCAAGTTGTAGAAGCTGACGCAAACATAACCAGAATGTATTGTAACATTCGTCTATAATTGGCTGATATTAATACCGGAATATTAACATTGTGTTGTCATTCGCTCGACATTGACTGGATACTTGCAATACAACAGCCTGTTGTAATGAATGAGGGTACTACTATGCATTACATACTATAATCGTTAGATTGATTGCCTCCATTTGCTATTGTTTGAATCAATATACATACATACACGTGCAAGTTCTTTAAACTATCATCTTACTGCGGCCCAATCCTTTCCCACAAAAAGACAAGTTTTTCATTTAACCGTCTCACAGGTCTATAGGGTCAGTCAGTCAGTCAGTCACCACGTCAGACGTAGAAATATCAAATACGTCTTCTTTTGCAATAGGACGACCGAGGTGTTTTCTTGCTGTCGATTTCAATGGTGGGTATGGCGCGCTTCCTAAGTGCTGCAATCGGTAACGACGATGATGTCGACAACGTACAGGGCAAATGGATTGGGTTAGGTATCGTCATTGCCTCCGCTGTGCTTTCTAATCTCGGTGTTAATGTACAGAAGCTCTCGCACGTACGGGTACGACCCTTATTTCCTCTTGATGTTGATACGGAGTGCGCACTCGAGATAGTTGATACATTGCTCAGTGCGCACTCGAGATAGCTGATACATTGCTCAGTGCGCACTCGAGATAGATGATACAGTATAGAGCGCGCCCTCGTAATAGTAGGTAGATACGGTTTGCTCACTTACCCTTATTTTTTTTCCTTATATTCATATATCAGGAGGAAGAAAAACCGGTATTTGAGCGACAAACCTACTACACCCGTCCACTCTGGCTCAGTGGTTTAATTTTAGTCCTATTAGGTGCAATTGGAGACTTTGAAGCACTGGGATTTGCTCCTCAAGCTCTTGTTGCAGCAGTTGGTGGTGGGTTTACTGTACTAGCCAATGTATTCTTTGCCCATTTATGGCTAGGACAGATCCTGACCAAGACAGATGTACTTGGTACACTGCTGATTATCATTGGCGTCGTACTTAGTACTGTAGCCAATGAACCGGATGAGCAAATGTCACTTGTGGAACTGGAAAAACAATTTTTTCAGCTTGAATTTCTCATTTACCTTGGAATGATGGTACGTACAAGATGATATTGCGTATTAAGATTGCTATATTGCTGACAAGAGGCCTTACACTCATGTTTATGATGTAGACAGCAGTACTTCTTTGTATTTTTGGCCAGATTGAAGCCATTCTAAGAGCTCGGAATGAGTCCAAATACCGGTTATTACCGTTTTTGTATGCCACTGCATCCGGTATTTTCGGTTCTTTTTCGGTCCTATTGGCCAAGGTAGGGAAAGGACGAGGTATTATTACTTTGCATCTCTTATACTTTTCTCTTACTTTTTGTATGCTTTTGATTCGTGCTAGTGTGCTTCAATACTGTTTATTTTGACACTAGGTGGTGAAAATCAATTTGTTTACGTGACAACGTACTTGTTCATGGGTGGCATGATGTCGACATTGGTACTACAGACGGATTTATTAAATCGTGCTATCATGGCTGGAGATACACTCAGTGTGTTTCCCATGTTTCAATGCTTTTGGATTGGGGTGGGTGTGTTTGTATTGGAATGAATTTTTTCGATAATGAAAATGGCGTTGTGTATACATTAGAATACTTGACTGACATTGTGTTATGATTGTCTTGTCTTTGGTGACTTGTAGTCGAGTGTTATTGGTGGTGTCGTGTTCTACCAAAAATACACGCGGTTCTCGTTATTTGATTGGATTTGCTTGCCAATTGCACTAGCGTGTACGTTTTGTTTTCAGTCTTGTCGTATTGATTTGTTTTTTACGTAAAGCAAATAATGAGGCATTGTGGTGCTTAAATATTGTAGTTATTATCGTTGGCATTTACTTGTTGTCAAAACATGGTGAAGGAGATAACGATGATCCGTGTGAGTTAGAACACGCTACTCCGAGCTATCGTGCACATTTGACGGGTCATTTTGGTGCGCTTATGCCATTGTCACCGCAAGGTCGTACATACAGCACCTTTGGCCGAAAAAGTTTTGATGATCGTGAAAATGTACACACCCCACTACGGTACACATCATCAAACGGCCGTGTTATTGGGCTCACCACTGGGTGTACAAACGGATTCATCAACGGACTTGGTGCTGATTATGACCACGATTACGAAAACAGCAAGTGTATTGGTCAGTGGCATGGAACTCATGACCGAAGGCATTACAATGCTGATCACGAGGATCGGCCTGTGTTCAGTGGATCTATTTAGTCAAAATTGGCGCTGTAATTGCTATATTCATGCACATACTAGGACAAAAGAAGAATAGAAGTAGGATGGATGAAGCGTCAATGCTGGAGATGGAAGGTTGGGTTGCGTTAGCAAGGACACGATGATTCCCGTCGTATACCGTGTAAATAATCGTTAAGCAAGTGGACGCAGGTGAAGAATGAGACCAATGTTTTTGAATTGTGTCCTAAGAACCAAATTGTTGTGAGCCGTTTAAAAAGCTGCATCATCATCAGCTACGACCATGATATCTCTCTTTGTAACAAATTTTGTAGCAAGTGGAGAAAGCCACAAGTTTGTTGCTATATACGTCGTACTTCATAACTTGAACGTCGTCCAAGTTGCTGCTTCCCACTACAACAAATATCTGCTCGGTGTTTTCGTACGTCTATGACGGTGATGTAGGTGGTGTTTTCAACATGATAAGACGCAAGATATACCTAAGGTGGCCAAATGAAAACTAGGCCAAGATAGTGCAGCAGGATCACTTTTAGAACGCAGATAAGGTCCGTATTTACGAGTTCATGGTGTTTTGAAAACCTTTTGAAGCGTGGGGTTCAGAACATGCCGACGCTTACTGAAGCATAGAATCTAAATCATCATTTGCATGAGCTAACGACGTTTTGAAAGGAGCCGAAAACGCATAAGTCAACTAACTTTACTAATACAAATGTCTTCTAAGACGTACAAATAAAGTTGTCATTCCAGACAGCATTAGTCAAAGCTCCTACATTTGGCGCAAGACCTACGTCTACGATTCGCACGTTAAGTTCGTATTCGACCGGTTCCGCATCGTTTCGGGTCTGTATAAATGCTCGAAAGCGATAAGCAGACTAACTGCAATGAATATGGACCAGTCAAAGCTGCAACGCTTGATGCCTCTTGAACAGCACCTCTAGAATTTTACAGTGATGTACGGATGGAGTTGTATGATCCAGTGTCTTCACACAAATTTTGTACTAGTGACAAGAATCTAGACTTGATGAGCGACGTTGAAATTGAGCACCGTGCGAATGTGAAATCTTATCTTCGAGTCAAGCTGAAGGTATCGTGGCGGTCTTTCCTCTCCTCCTGCCTTCGTATTTGAGATCAAAAAGCTCTTTGTCAAGAATCTTAGCGTATGACACTGCAAGATGCAAGATGAATGTTTTCCGCACGGCATCCACTTAAGGTTGGCTAATCATATCACGCCCAGGCTTTCAGCAGATTCATGAGTACCATTTTGACAATGTTTAATCCGACTTTACGGTAGTGAATTGGAAAATTGGTGAGGTGTTAAGCGACGATTCCAGATCGTCGTCAACAAATGACGCTGACTTTCAGTGCTGTACTGTGTCATTGGGCGTCATCATGGATCTCACGATCACCCTGTTGCAGATCAAGTAGCTTTGCTCTACATGAGTATGAGCCTTGTTATAGTCTTGGAGGACGCGACATATACTGAGACTATTCGCTCTTTGACCAAGAATGGCTTAGACGATTTAACAAGGCACCAAAGCGGGATTCTCCCATATCCATCACTGAACGGGTACATGCGCGTTGTAGCCTAAGGCGACATCAAAGCTACTATATTCTGCTACTTCTTCACAAACTTTTAGAGCTCCACCGAGCTCCACTATAGATAGTGTAAGTAGTATCGTTGCTACAGCCTCCTCACCAATGACAGTTGTCAGCGGTTGGAGCGTCTTCCACTCCAATCATATAGATTGAGGTGATGAAATGCACACTATGCGTCTCAGATGCATTTGGGTTTGTCAAGAGCCACTCACGGGAACAGGTAAGCAACCGTACCGGATCTATAAGGCTCTATATAAACATAAGATGACGTAATTGTTGGACGGACTACACGGTGCTACTACGTATGTAACAGGTACAACAACTTTTCAAGCGCAAGCGATATTTGTAATCGTTGATGGTATCAATCGGAACTTGAAATAATTGCTTGCTATCATGATAACAACGTCAGTAGGATCGCTGAATCATGACCAAAGCCGTATTGCTTCCGGCCGCAAATAATGCTTTAACCGTTAAGTGAGGTGATCATTGTTTCATAGCGTAAATTGCATCAGTGTAGATCGACTACAGCCCCGGTATGTAATTTTGGATCGTAGGAATGGTTTTCAGTTCCGTGGTAATGCTATTACGCTACTTTGAAAGAGTATGAATACAACATAATACTATCACGATTAGTAGTCAATACAATACTCACAAAACATCTTTCACTACTAAATTCTTGCTTAGTCGACTACATTGTCATACAATTAAACAACAACAAAGCTCTGGAATGTGGAAAAGGTTGACAGCTTCGATTTACAGTTATGTGTTGTCCAAATCGGTCGCTACTTGAGACGATTCATCTTCATTAGAAGTTGTACGTTTCTTGTACCAATTGTACTCATGATGCTTGGTTTGCCACAAGAACTCTATGTAGAAAGGAAAATTGGGGCTCTTGACTATACCTTTCCTGGATCGCATGTCTAAGTCCAAGACTTTTCTAACATAAACAATTGGCCTCTGGCGCAGAATCCAAACCTCTACTTTAACATTCAGCTCGTCACTAGTTTCTTTAGGGTCAACTTTTATCTCCTGCTTGCCGCTTGAATACAATTTAAAGGATTTGTCGTCTTCAAGCTCTACATAGCGCACATACACCGCCATGAATTTGTTTGTACGTGTCTCCGGTAAATCTAAATTCAAAATTTTATAGATGTTGTGTGAGGAAATATCATCAAACAGGAACGTCATCAGTATTCCATCATGCATTTTTTTTGATTCGACAACAGCAGCTATCAGATTATATACTCTAACTTCTTCCTCGGAAGAAATTAGTTTCTTCTTGACCTGATTAAGTTTTTCTTTTCCTTCCTTGAGCTGCGTAGGTTCAATTTTTTTTTTGAGTACGACTCAGTTCTTCCTTGAGATGTATAATTTTTTCAGTCACCGTTGCGAGCTTCGACTCCATCCAACCTACTTCATGTGCCGTTGAATAGGTCTGTCGTAGCGATCTCCCGTGGTCGTGGTCAGTTTCAGAAACAGCACGAGGAGTTACCGATGAGGTTTTGGTGTGGTAGCTGCTCAAAACCAGCGCAGCCACCAGAAACTCAGTCTTGATCTGCATCGTGAGGTCTTATGATCGAGCAAGTAAATTGTCAACTGGTGCAAAGAGTCGTGATTAAATTTCAATAAATGAAGTGACAAGGTCGTTTGTAGCAATGTGTTATCCTGAGATGTGTCAACGGTCTGGACGTATGTAGCCGTAAAAAGACGACAGTATCAGCAAAATGGAGCCACAACGGAAAGAATTCCTTGAAGAGGTGACAAACTTTGGCAATGTATAGCGACTTTCCGAGAAGTACTGCTCTTTCAATAAGAAAGATTTGTCATCAATTGCACGAAAAAAGTGACGACGCTGTAGTGCAATATCATGCAGCAGTTTGCATGTTATTTTACAACCTTAACGCAGCATCACATTGACTTGGCGGCCAGCACACAGTTGGAAACTAGAGGAACACAGAATCACTTTGGTAGGACACAGGATCACTTTGGTAGCTAGATATTTCAGTCTAAAAGGTCAGTAGGTCATGTAGTACAAAGGTTTACAAGCAAAGCAAACCCGTTCTGTCTGTCACGCGTTTTATACGTTTTCAGACTATTTTGATGGAGAGCTATTGTTTTGTATAGAATTTCCTAGAGCATGGAATTTTACGCGATTGTAACATTTCAAGCCTATACCCCATGTGTCAATTATACTACATCTACAAAAAATCGGATCGTGGAACCTTCTTTCGAGCTGCAGCATAGTAATGACGAAATTTTCGACCAACTGAGAGTAAATGAATCTGGAACTGTGCTAGTCATAACAAGGCTACACAATCCTATTTAAAAATGGACTCGTCATGGTTGCTAGTTGTAGAGACTTTTTTTTGCTGGAGAGAAAGGGCAGGGCTATATGTGACAAAGAGGTAGTATCTATGTGTCTGTCATTTTTATACTAAGGGCTAGGAGAAAAACCTGAATATCTCAGATTCAATACACGATGTGGGTGTAGACGGGTCATTTATGGCTGAATTTTAGTCAATTAGATTATATAAAATCAACGATTTTGCAATACAAAAGCAGCTGTGAAGATACTTTAGAAGCAGTCGATGAGTAAACGGTATGACTTTCGTAATCATACTTTTGACTCTTACTTCACATATAATAGTAGTATTTTCATTATAACCGTATATTAAACAAGTACCAGATTCATACCTTAAGCAAGCTTTATACAATATGACAGGCAATAATACTACAGAATTATCGTCTTCTTTATCATCCTTTTGACAAAATAACAGTTTCATACCAACGCTTTTGAGAAAATATCACATTACTTACGTACTTGTCCAGTTTGTTACTTCTCTTGCCAACTGAGCTGCTTCCTAGTCAATAAAAGGGATCGGCAACGATCATTTAGACAGTACTTACTTTCTTAATAATCAACCCATTGAACGGGTGCATAATGTTGGCAGCACAAACCCTCCAAGCCATTATTCACTTGATAGTACTTTCAGTCTTTAGTTGGTTAATAGTTTTATTACTGTAGTTTGAGACAGAGACAGCAGGCTAGCTAGCTGCTACACCAGAAATTGATTCAAAAATCGTGCTTCTCACGCTCACATGCATGTCGTTCTTGTTCTGATTCCCTATAAACCGTAGACGCTGTTGTTCTCAAACTTGACAGCTCAACGCAATTTGTGGAGCAAACTATTCGATCAAGTTTGTAGAGTGGTGCTGTTCGTGCCAGTAAACCTTGTATAGAGGCGTAGCGATGCATTAAAAAAACGATGGTCACGTCTACTTGACGCGGCGGGCATTTAGATCTTTTGTCTACCAATCGCCATGTAGGGTTAATGGAAGCAGGCTGGTCTACGATTGTCAAAGTACCTAAAGGTCTTCAGGAGTTTGATCAGACATACATCTCAGGTCGTTACTTCGAAAGACAAGAAGATGTAATTGTTTAGACGTGGATGGTACGCCACCTTGACTGGAATAAGGTCAAACTCATCCATAAAAGTAGACGTACACGTACAAGTGGAATGCCAAGTATGCCAATACAATTCTAAACTGTCAATATGCAAAGTCGAAAGGTCACGGTTCGGATACACTGTCAATGTCATTGAACTGTTGAATGTCTGGCGATCAATTCAAATTGATGAGCCTTTTATTTGTCCTTAGATAATCGGGTGATTGCCAAGTCGCACGGGTAATGTAATGCTCGCGTGCCACTCAAACAAGATGGACTATCTTTTTCCTGTCCCGCACAGCGTCACGGACGATATGCTGCGAAGCTGTTGCTGTATCGCATATGCCGAGTTCTGTTTTCAGTAGGCAGCTTGGCAATTTGTCGGACGTCAGCGGGTACATCAGGATATCTACACCATGACCTGTCGACGACAATCACTCCATATTGCGATACCGAAGTCCGTGAACAATCTATTGACGCCATCTAGATGAAGCTGTACGGCATATGCAGCCAAGCAAGTTGTCACTATCGACAAGACGTGCGACACTTCGAATTGGACGTCAAGGTGAATATGGAAAAGGCCATGACCAAAGTTTCTATGCTTTGAATACCTGCATATGTTGTGGTGGTCTCATTCCTCGCTCTAACTCACCAATTGTCGTATCGAGCTATCACCTGCTCAATCTCAATGCCCTCGCAAACAAAAGTCTTGCACATCTGCAACAGACTTACTTACAAGTGAATGAAGGGCGTTTCATTTTCCATAAAGCTTTCACAAACCGAAATATCTGTCTTGTCTATCTGCAGTGTTGGGCTCTAAACGGTAAGACAGGCGACAATAGTTTGCTAAAACATGAGACGAAAAGAGCCTCGTCCCACGGATGAACATGCAACGATAGTTAAGCTCATTTCTCGAACATCCAGCGGATTGATGCGGTCCTTTCAAAATCCACTACATCATAGAGGACATGGTACAAGGAATATTAAGATCCTTATCGTTGTTGGTACATTTGGTGACAGTGATCAAGGTTATCGAGACTTGTTAACGATGATACTGACGGTAAAGGTGGGTTTGGCATCGATTTAAACTATGGAGCTGACTCCGCTGTATTCACGATAATTTGATGAAGTCGTTGCGTTATGCGCGTATTGCAATGTAAAGTCGAATACCGGAGACGCATGAATGAAACGGCAATCGGTACGGAGCGTGCGAGTTTAAGTGTCCTTGAGTTTATCAAGATGACGATGCACGATCGAATGCGAGTGATGACATTGTTCTAGAATGCACGGTCAATGTTATGGAATGTGGCAGCAGACGCTGATCGTCGTCAGGAGGTAACAGCATCGGCCATGACTTTTGGCTTAGGCATACGTACATATCAATTCATGTGGCAAAAAACGGTAAGGACAAGTCCAGATCACCGAAGGTCGTGGCGAATCGGACCAAAGCCGAACTTTCAAAAATGAGGAGCGACACGTACACCATGGTGGAAACAACCCTCTTCTCATTTCCACATGTGCCAACACGAAGCATATCATGGGTAGGTTCCAGCCACCTGCCGACCGTTCATTCATTATCTGGAGAAATGCTAGTGCTCAATGCGTAGCTTGGAAGTGGTTATGTATAGTAAGTACTAGCAAGCTGGTCAAGCCCAAAAGCGATCTGTTGATGAAGTGGTCCAGAACAAATTCACTAGTCTAAGTGTGAGTCATGTGAGTCACAGATACTGAAGAATGTTCACCAGGTGAACTGTCTACGATGTGATATTGGGGGGGACCATCAAGACTGATGCAATATTGTACAAACCAATTGAACCTGCAACCGTAATACTATCACTGATGTTAGGCGTAGACCGAGTTTGGCTTGAGCTGCCATGGTCATCAAGCGTGGATTGGCATCGTCATTGGCAAGCACTTCTTTGATGCAGCAATAGCGACGCTTATCGTGATACGCTTGCATCTAAACAAATGCTACACGGCCACGAATGGATTCCTAAAGTTCGTTCATGACAGTCAAACCGTAGCGGTTTTGCCACGGCGATCATCACCCAACATGGCATTTGCTTTATATCATCATCTACTATGCGTATGACATCTACCATCCTTCTGCTGCTCCACCACACCAGTAGGCAGGCCCGCGCACGTGGTTTAGGTCAGTTTTTGTTATGTAACGTGTGTCAAGCTGAGAGCACTCTAGGAGGTCAAGTGGGTGTTAATATTTCGTGCATTGTTGTCAAAAGCTGCAGGAGCTTTTGGCGAACAATGGCAAAACTTACGCAATTGCGCCGCATCATAAAGCTTTGCACTCTGGAATCAAATGGTGGAGCCTGCCTGCAGGTACAAAGCTGCAGCTATTTTAAGATGATTGAAAGCCTTCTAGTAAACGATATATGCATCAGCAACGCAGTTGCACTGACATTTCTTTGCCGCTATGTCAAATGTTGTCGGGTACAAAGCTAACTCTCGATCATTCAATCTTTCTAGAACATTTCCTGCTGTCGAGTGCTGGGTATTGTAACGTTTGTAGTAAGTGAGACCAAAACGATATGCATGCCCCGTAAAATATTAACCATGAGGATACGTTTGACCATAACGTGACGGTGACGTTGTTATGTTGATAGCGGTTCTAGAATCAATGTGTTGTTCTCAAAGATATTGTCATGAATGACGATCAGTCATGTTAGGCTTCATGCAAGATTGTTAAGTTACAAGGCAAGGATTGTGTTGTGCTTGTGTCGTGGATTCAAAAGCAAGACCAATGACGTACTAGACCAGCTTCTTAATTTGTTAAACACTTACTACGAATGAAGCGAAGCTTTCGCTCGTTGTTGAGCGCGCTGCTTTTCGTTTATCATAAACTACTGAAGAACACATGATAGTAGCTATACACCTCGTTGCCACACGTACTATGCAACAATGATATTGAATATCACCATGACCGTAGAAGCCCGCAAAACGAGACAGACTTGTCCGTATTTGTTCCACGCCCACGCGATGCTTTCGTCCATTCAAGTGTCTTGTGCTGCGTTCTAACATACCCCCACTTTTCTTCAACGTCTCTCCCCTCTGCTGACTTACGGAGGAACTCAGCAATCTTTGTGTTGCACCCGGTCGTCAAGTGCGAATACGCGTCTCGGAGTTCTGAAGACGAGCAGAGATCAGCCAAGATTTGACAATGTCAATGTGTTTCATGACCACAGCGTTGTTCAATGCGCGACTAACGTTTGATTGTCTGAGGTTTATAGTCAACAGGAGTTTCACAATGTCAGCCATTCCTTGAGACGCGGCATCTTCGAGAGCTCGACCAACGTAATACCAGCTGCAGTTCTCACGTAAAATTGCTCGTAAAGCGTCCGTGTCGCCGGTACGTGCAATAGCTTGCACCCCATAGGTAAGCGCAAACGGGTCCCGTCCCCGATTATGGCGACAGAGCCACTTCACCACTTCGACATGACCATTTTCTGCTGCAGCATTCAAAGCATTACTTGAGCATCTCCTAACATAATGTTTGCAAAGCCACTTGACCATTTTCAAGTGTCCGTTCCTTGCAGCTCCGTCAATAGCAGCGATCGTGCAGCCCTCACTCCGAGTTACTGACAACCATTTCACAAGATCAAGTCGTCCTCTAGCAGCAGCGCCATCCATTGCCTTTGTAGTCCATCGTTTTGTAGCTCCATGTACGCGAATGATGTATTGGCAGTCGTTGTAAACAGCAGCATCAATGGTCTCCGGTATCACAAATTCATTAATGCGTTGCACTACATGTGAAAGCGCCTTGATGTGGTTTGGAAGGGCATGAGTGGCAAGGATTTTCAAGCGCAGAGAGCAATAGCTTCATGCAAATCCCTTGTTAGCATTAGTTAACGATTAATCTTTTGATACTGAATGAGAAAGCGTTGCTGATTCCGACTGGAATTAATGCTGCCACCATTACACTCGCTTCTGCTCGATTAGAACACCTCGCGCTTTTGCAATATAGTATATGGCTTAACGGAGAGTTAGAACGGACTTACACGTCTCTTCGCAGGGTAAAATACGATGAAGCTTACAATACAATCACGTACGTTGAGTAGTTCAGTGATAGGACCAATTCAGAACATTGCTACATAATGTAGCAAGTGCATGCCTTCACATTCATGAGTACTTGAGAATCCCTACATACATAACTTTCAATAGGATGAGAGAAATATACATACAATCATGCAATTGCTACAAAGTTTCATAAAAAACTTGCTTACCAAACAAATGTCAGTCAAACTTCATCCATTGCGGTTGTAAAGTTTATTGAATTCCACTCTTACTTGCTATACCGTAGAACGACTTCTTCTTGTGGCCACATGCGCCTACATTAAAGGGTTACTTCCTCGTTTCCAATACCTCTGTGTTGCTTATCGTTATGCTTTTGCGCGTAAAACGGCTTGCTGCGTCTGAAAAGCTTCATACGTTCTTTCAAATAACGGCTGGAAGAAAAGCATCCAGTCGTCGTACAGAATGCGCTTATTTTGTTGGTTTGGGTCTCGTTTACTACCAATGTCCTCACCACCGCGATAGTCGTGCCAATCACAACCTACAAATTGACAGAGGTTCCGATAACCCCAACGCCTCCTCAAGAACGGGAATATCTCCATCACCGTAGTCATCGGACGTGCCCAAAGCACATTTACAAGACCAGCACCGTGCATACCAATAATTATGTCGCTCTCAATGGTAGTGATCATCTGTTCGCGCAGCGTAAGACCTACATAGTCAACCGATCGAAACTCAACGTTTAGGTCCTTATACTCCGTCCGCATCCTCTCCATCACCTCATCCTCATTAACCCAAATGCGTTCTAATTTTCGTCCCCTATAAGGCCGACGAGTAATGACCGTTACAATCATTGGTCCGATCCTATTTAACCCAACTTCAAGTTCCACTTCCGGTGTTACATTCATTGTTAAAAGAGACTGAGCGCGAAACAGTTTCATCAGATCCGAGTCGTAGCACGGTTCGTCATCATTCAAATGTTGCATCATTGGACCAGACATTTCAGCAGATGCGACCAAGACATTACCTCGAAAATGAACACGTTTACCCATAAGTGTTGCACCATCAATCAATTTATGATATGGTGCTAATAGACCCTGATGTAATTCGTCAATAGGTGAAGGATAACCAGCATCCAAATGTATCACATAGGTCGAAGTTAGACTCCAATTCAATGCCTTGAGCATAATCCATGCATTTAAAGCATTGGAAATCTGGAAAAAAGGATTATGATCATGATGCTGCGCAACAAGCACGACCGGATCATTAAAAATTATCGTTTCGATATTATCCGGTGCTTGAGTTGGATATTTGATAAAGTCCCATGCCGATCGTTTCAAATCAGTTGGTAATCGTGGAGCACAAATTGTTGGTAATGGAACGTCACCGGATGAAAAAGCAGTCAATGAAGATCCCCAAATTTGATTATTCCGACGTGTAATCTCATTTGTCATTTCATTCATAAAATAGTCTGTTAATTCAGTACATGCACAATTAATTAATTGCATATTAAATTTGAATCGTGGATCATGTTTTCCACCATCCTGGGCCATTGATTCAATAGGCGCACGAATGGATACATTCACAAAATCCAGCATTAGGTTTTGAAACACTGCACTTTTGATCCCACCAGCAACATGATACATTGTGACTTGAGTTGCTTTTTTCGTGACTTACGGGAGCTTCTTTTTGTGAATCCCAGCCACCATCCATACAAAAACGTCGAGCAGCTTGTTGTGTTGCTGAAATGATTCCCATATCACGTTCAGCAGTACATTTTTCCTGAGTCCATGTTTTTTTGTAAGTATGCGGCACTTTCATACGTTGCCCTAGGGCAATCATATGTTGCTCTTGTTGCTTCAGTTGCGCCACGGTCAACTGTGTTACTGGATAGGTTTTCAGACTGATGGTGTCTGTGATCTGACCATCATTCTCAACACGAAGCATTATTCCCCACATGCTTGGTCGTAATTGACAGATCACACCGAATACTAACAACATAAACATCATAATATGTAGAAGGCGCCGACCAGTGCCAAGGAAGGCGATGGACCGCATAGATGCAGCTAAACAATTCTTCTTTTTCATGAGGATGAGGGCGGGGGGGGGAAGTACAATAATTATTGTGACTGTAGATAGAAATACTATGATAGGAAGAAGCGAAATGTAATTTGTCCAATCATATAGAAGCATAATGCAATTTGTTAATCGTATTTACGGTATTGTAATATAGTGAGATCATAAATGTCGCACTTGAAAGAAACAATCGGACGACAGATAAGTATACCATGAACCTGTCCAGACGGATATCTTGACAATGCGATTTAAAGCCACAGGATTGGTCAAAAAATCACAAGTAGTTAACAGTTATCAAACGTTATCAGTTAACCAGTGTCTATAACCGAAAGCAGTTTACTATCCTAATGTTGCATTAAGCATTACTTTTGTATTACCACCATTATCTACAAATTACAAAAGTGGCTCAACTTCCGCATGCATCAGGTTATCTCTCATTCTCTACGTTTCTCTCTTCTCTCGGCCAAGAGTCCATTAAGCGGCGCGAGCGCTGCAAGCGCCTCGGTCAAGTCCTTCCACGCTGCGCGGTCCTGAGCACATAGGCGAAGGAAGTACACGTTGAAAACGGCGTCCTGGGGAAAGTGTTTCAAGGTCGGCATTTAGGACCATCGGTAGCGTAAGTCGGCGTCTGCCGCTCCATTTGCCGGTCGCACTGGGGTTAATGAAAGTTTCCATGGAGCGGTAGGCTGGGATGCCTGCTGGTCTGCGGAGGATGTGGCCATAAAGGCTCCATCGGCTGCGAAGCAAGTGAAATCGGAGTGGCTCTGTCTGGGTGCGGTCGTAGAGCTTGGCATTGGAGATCGTGTCTGGATACCGTACGCCAATCACTTTGCGGAGCTGTTGACGATGGAAACTTTCGAGGCTGTGTGGCACGGAATTGGTAAGGGCTTAAGCCTTGCAATTGTATAGCAGGATCGGCAAGACGTAGCAGTTGTAGAGGTAAAGGCGCGTAATTTCCGAGGTCTTCGATGGCCGAAGCCAAACTTTCCACATGCGGTGGAGCGCGGCGGACGCTAATACTTTTGACGGGAGACGTCTTTTGCGTCGCCGAGGCAAAAACCTAGTTTGCGCGTAATGCGCCAATCTTTATCCTTGGTACGTATAATCTGGTTGGACTGCGCTGTACGATGGTGCGTTCGGTCTTGGACGTGTTCATCTGAAGCGACCATTTGGCCAAAACAGCATGGGGCTTCAGTCTCGATCAGAGTAGCTATGTCAGCGCTTTGGCAGACGAAGTAGGCTCGTTGGCGTACACGATCATGTCAGCGAGGAGATCATGGGGTACGACGAGTTGGCTGGGTAGGTCTGGTATAGCTGCTTCAAGGTAAACAACAAAAAGAATAGGGACAGTAAATCACCTTGGGGAGTACCTGTATTGCTCTCAAAAGGTGAGAGCAGGCGATTGCCGCGTCGGAGGGAAAGCACTGTGTCCCGTAGTAGTAGTCGCATCAGTCGAACTTTGTCATCATCAAGAAGTGGATCGAGCACGGAGAGAAGTCTGTCGCGATGACGGTATCAAAAGCATGGGAGAGGTCGATTCCAAGAATATGGAATCGTTCTTTGTACCTCTGAGCATGTGCTGCTATCCACCTGTAGATCCACACTGCATCAGCAGTATTGCGACTGCGCCTGAACTCGCTTTGGGGCGGAGACAGAATTGTTCGACCTTGGGGGAGATGCGGAGAAGCACTACATAAAGAGATCGCGCTGTTGAGTAGAACGATAGGTCGAAGGCTAGCGCATTGGCCAGCCGGCATGTTTGGTTGTGGAAGTCCGAGAAGAGTTCAGTCGCTCAGGTGGATGTTGTCTCCTGTGGCGAGTCCGTAATTGATGATGTCGGCGAGGGGTTGAGCTGGTAGCTCTGATCCATACTTGAGTAACTCGGCAGGTATAAAGTCCGGGTCCGGTGCGCGTCTATTCCGTAAGCGACGGAACGCGCGTTCGAGCTCGTATGCGGTTATCGGGTTCTTCAATGCGTCGTCGACGACGGACATGCGCGTGGGGTCCGAGAACTGGTCGCAAAGTGTTGCTTAATTTTGGTACCTGCTTCTTGGCGGCTGCGATTATATTTACCTAGGGTGTCACATAGCGAGGTCAATGGTGAGGGCCGTTGGAAGACGGCGCGCGTGGCTTCAAACATGTGAGCCGAGCGGTTCGACTGTTCAATGATGGCAAGTTTCTCGTCGATGAAAGCTCCAGCGAGAGCTTTGCTGCGTGCTTGGACCCGGTGCAAAAGTTGATTGCGTTTAGTACGTAGAGCCATGATGTCTTGCGTGTGGTCGTTTTAGATGAGCTGTTGAAGGGTAACGTTGGTCGTACGAGAGGCGGGAAAGCTTGGGATACACCACTTTAGTATGGTGGGCGTGCGGCATGTAGCCGACAGAGTCTTCCGCAGCCTGTAGTGCAGAGTGAAAGGTGGTTGTTTAGTGTTGGTTTGCAGTTGTCCGTTGTTGCGGGAGGTTAGCAAGGGTTTTTCTCAAGAAGTTGTCGACACAAGGTGCGATACCTGCTGTCATGGGCAAGAAGATGTGTCGCCAAGCGCGTTTCAGCTTCGCTGCTACGTGCTTGCTCTTGACGTCGGCGAAGTTCGCGGAGAGCGCGGAGATCGAAGCGAGCGTGACGAGCTTGTCGTCTGACGGGGTGAAAGTGCCACCTTATACTGCGCGTTGCTGCATATTTCTTTGTCCGTTGGCTGCAGATGATGTAGATTTGGTTGAAGATGCAGAGGTCCTTAAGTCGGAGTGTCCATGTCGTGATGTTGCGCGCGCGTTTTCAAAATTCTGTATTAGTAATGAATAATTCGTAGCATCACAGAAACAGACGAGAATCTGGCCATTGCGATTCCTTCGACCACGGCCCTATTGCCCAAGAAATGATTCGGTTTCGCGGCGTTGACCGATTTTAGCGTTGATATCACCAAGGATAATGGTCGCGCCGCGTGGGGGAAGCCTAGAGAGCTATGTGGTCAGGTCCACGTAAAAGCTGTCGATGGCTGCTACAGGATACTCACCATGAAGCGCATATGCATCAACAATGTTCACTTGTTGGGCTTTAGGCAGACGTAGTTGGAAAAATCCAACTCGGTCGGACTGGGAGTTGTAAAGAAACCTGGGCAACGGCGAACGAGCACCGTGCCAACGGTTTGGGCAGGGGTTTCACGAAGTTGTGTATTTTACATAGACACCTGTCACAAGTTGTACCTTGGGTACAATAGTAGGCTCGATGTGACCATACCTAAGGTACCAAGGGTCGCAATGTCACGTGGTCATTATACTTATTTAAAGTATAGCGACTATACATGTTTGCATATTAATAGGCTTCAGAGCCAGTAAATAGTGACTAGCACTAAGTATACAGTAGGTGCTTCTATATTTAGTGCTAGAAGATAAACATAAATAAATTAGTTTCAAACCTACTTGTTGCTAGAGTGATCTATTCCTTTAGAAGGAATTGTATCTTTGTGTCTCTTGGAGACGTGGTTGCTTGCAATCAAAGGCATAAGCTTGTGAAGCTAGCCTTGAGAGGGTTAAGAACCCTAAAATGTATCAGTTCTTTGAACCTTTCTTTCTTTGCACCTAGTGCATAAGTAGCTTGGTCGGCTACACCTGGTAGCACTTGTAGTCAATTCCGTACCTGGGTTTGCGACTACTTCTCTGGTGAAGAAGGTAAAAGATCGTTGGATCGTCAGCACTGTGGGAATTGCTTTCACCACAAGAAAATAAAAAAATCAAACATAGATCTGGAAAAAATGCCTTTAATCCTTCCCTAAGTCTCTTTTGAGACCCTCGCGGATAGCTTCTGGAAGCGCGTTTGACTGGTAGATGACGGCGATCTTATCAAGTCGGAAGTATAACATCTGACTCAGATGGTCTACGAGTTCTTTTGGATAGAGTTGAATGCGCTGTTGCGAAATGATCCTGTGCTCAAGATTATGGTGCCCAAGCTGAATATAGCGTTAAAAGATTCAGAATTGACACAGGACAGGCACCGACGACGATCACGTTGAACAAGATCCGAATAATGATGAAGCAGTTACAAAAACTTGGATGTACTGCTGGATCGTTTATAGCTTACATACTTCTCTATTGTGATCAAGATCAGGTGATTATCGCAGCACGATAGCTGATCGAAGATCTAGTTATTATGACTAGTGTGAAAAAGTCGACGGATCATCGTAACATGCAGACACGAGACAGTCCGAATGAGTACCATACTGGATCCTCGTATTTTGCCTCAGCAGGATCTGAAGCCTACTTTGTAGAGTCGATCAAGATCGACAGAATGTCATTAGGACCTACGGGTGCAGCATCATTGCGCGATCGCAAGATTCCGATCAAGGCCGAGCCACGGTCAGGTATCGAACCCACGCTTGGAAAGTGTGGAGCCAATTGGATGGAGTCAGCTGCGACCAGACTTCGATGCTGAGATGTACAAGTTTGTTCACAAACAACATACCAGACAGAGGACGATCGTTTCGGATTATCGATCAAGAATCATCTCGGATCACTGATCATATATCCCAGATGTTGACATTGAATCAGTGCAATCATGTAGTATAAGTTTACAAAAGTACGATCAAGACGATTTTGGCCTGGATGGTCCTCGACGACCGTTAATAGCAACTGCAAAGTCTATGTCGATTGGAGGATTCACCACTAAGCGTAATCAAGCTTCGGCAATCGCAGATCTGAAAGCGTTTTTCGGGAGAGACAAGGACAAGGATCGAGCAAGAAGTTGGACCAGAAAAGTCAATTTTGCGATACGAAGCGATTAGGCACGAGATGTGGTTTCCAGTGATTTATATACGGGAACGGCGCGAAAAGATATGCCCAGTCAAGCTGATCGACGCAAAACACTTGAAAATGACTCTTGGACTTTTATGGTTCAGTATGGAGGATATGGTGTATCGGCTGGAAGGAGCTATTATCACGCATGGAAAAGATCAGATAAAACTTATTTAGTGTATATCTATAGAATGAATGCGGCAAAAAGAGAGCAAAAGTTCCAGTACGAGATGGATCACCCACTGCTCGTCGCGAGTGCAATAACTCATCGAAACTTTGGATGATCGCGATATGGCATAACAGCTGACGCTATTATGGTTAGAAGATGCTGATGTCATGGAGATATCAATATGTGCGTATCAACGGGCCGCAGGTGAAGCATCAATGGGATCGAGCAATTTTCGTCAGCGATCTGCGAACCCACCTAATCCAACACTTTCAAAACCTACCCGCGCAGCGAGATCGATTCATATTGAATGTAGTAGTAGTGGATTGTAACCAGGAGTAGACCAACGAAAAGTTTGCATCGCTTCTTTAGCGGATCGCACGAAGAGTTCCACGGATCTTGGACCAGGAAAACGTGGTTCTTCCAATGTAATGGTCATGATCAGGCTGGATCGACGAAGCCGTGTACCCAATGTAGATTGACCAAGTCTCTTGATCGCTACCGGGAAAAGATAAGAACACGTTTACGCTTAGATGTTACCTATGTAATAGCTAAGAGCCAATACATACACCATACACCAGCCAAAGGCAAAACAACACCTATGGATTACTTCGAATATTCAATACTACCCTTGTCTAATAAACCCGAAACCTTGCCTATTCGTATGACAGGACCCACCGCAACGCGTCGTTTCAATAATGACTGCGCTCCGGCGTATGTGGTCGACACCATGCAATAGCATCCGTAGACGACTTGGTCTGCGATCGCGATTCGACGTATGTACCCGCTGCGCGATCGGGGCTGCTCCACAAACATCAATATCGGAAAACCGCTTCGCTTGCTGCTGGAAATAGTGCGTTTCCTTCTTCTATCAAGGGTGAAGGCTTCTCCGGATCAACTGACATAGCTGCTCTTGATCATCTGTATGAGGTATACCTGGATCTTCCACTGGTATAACATCGATCGTTGATCGTCACTTCCACTGTAGGGGTTACGATCTCTATCTAGCAAGACCGCAATTTTCTGATCCACACCGTCAGCATATATTTCTCCAGATATATGATTGATGACGGATTCATTACTGATATAATCAACCCTGATCCCGGCAGAATAAGTTTAGTAGCGATCATGGACGAAGAATCGATCGTGAGAGTAAATAAGGTATAGATCGTCCTTTCCGATAGATCCAATGCTCGATTCGACTCACCATTTTCTTTGATCGAGTAAATCGTCGAATTTATCAGTCAGTGTTCGAACCGCTGTACTAACGTCTTTTATTTAGTGAGTTGAGATAGGTGTCACTGGCAATCG